AGGTGGCACAGGCAGCCCGGGAAGGGGACCCCTCCTCCCTCTCCCCCCCTTTCTCTCCTTCCCCCGTGCCCTTCTTCCTTTCCCATCTGCTGGCCAGCACACCCATCCCCCCGAACATGGACCCCTCATTCGACCTATCATCGCCCCGCCCATACACAGAGGAGCTTGACGCACCCGGCGCTGTCACAGCCCACCACCACAACCAACACCAGCTGCAGCCGCACGACACGGCCGCCCGCAACCACAAGCCCAGCCCTGACGAGAAATGCCATTCAGATGACCGTCAAGGCGCACCAGTGTCGGCCGGCACGGCGCTCGTACCTCGCACACTGCAATGCGGCGGGGAAACCGACCGGACATCACTGCTGCGAGAAATGCTAGCCGACGAAGGAGTTCGGCGCAGCGTCGGCGCGGCTGCATGTTCGGTGCTGAGGCAGTTTGCCGCGGGTGGTGGTGGTGGTGCTAGCACGCAGCAGCAGGATGGGAGCAACTCCAGCCAGAAGTGGGTGCAGACCATCGTGGGCAACCACCTGCTCTCGTGTATCCAAGACCGCCCAATGTCACCCGAGGTCGCACCCGCCCAGCAGCAGCAGCAGCAGCATGGATCGTCGTCGAGTCGCCAGGGCATGATCGAGCCGGAGAAGCCGATGGCTGCCGACAATTGTGTTGATGGCGGCATGAGCGGTGGGATGCGTGGTGGCAATACCGGGGTGCGGGGTGGGGATGGAGAGGCCACCGTACATGTGACCAAGGAGCAGGTACGACGAATGTGGCTGACATCCGATGGCATGGGCATGGACATTCACATGTGTCTTCCTCATTCACAGGTGCTCAAGGTACTCGCTTGGGCGCTCCAGTCCAATCAATCAATCCTTGCATGAACGATGTTCTCTGTACGTCTGACACCGTGACGTACTGACGTCTGATTGTACGTGGATGCATCGTGCGTCGTCCAGGTGAATGTGAGAGTTTGAGTGGACTCGATACACGAGGGTCCATGGAGGGAGGGAGGGAGGGTTCGTACGCTCACTGGCTGACCGACCGACCGACTGAGCCTGAGATTGATCCATACGCATGAAGTCCAGTGCATACGTACACTTGATGTCATTTTCAAGCACGTACGTACCAACTACCAACACACCTGGCTACGCGACTCTCAACCCCCGTTGCTACCCACCCGCCCATTCACCCAATCACCGTGGCTGCATGCATTCGCGGCCGACAGTATCTGTCCATGCCCACTGAGACGATACATGCTCCTCCTCCCACTCAGACCATCCGAGAGGCAGCCGAATGCAAACTACGTCATGGCTGGCTACTTGAGGCGAAAGAGAATGCTACTTTTGGCGCGTTCTTCCTGACGCCGCTTGCTTCTGGCTGAGGATATCACATCCCGCCTGCCTTGCCTGGATTTGCTTCCTTGAAGCGCTCTGCTTGCTTTGGTTACTTCCATTTGTGTGTGTCTTCCCTCGATTTGAAGCCCGTCGAGGCTCACGGCCTGGCGCGGAGAATCTTCCTATGCCGATCCCCTCGTTGAGCTTGCGCAGAAGCTGTGCGACGGACTGCACGTCATCTGACACACATCACACAAAAGACAGCACCCCTGCGTACACGAGACAGCACCCACGTACCCAATTGCAATGTCAGCTCGACGTGCTGCTTGTCCGAGGCCTCTCCTGGTCTCTCACACGCACTGCTGCCGTCGACCGTCCTCTCGTCACCCTCCTGCCCATGCGTCGTCTTGTCTTGCTGTCCAGACGGCCCCAGCACGAACAGGGAGGGGAGAGAGGGGGAGGGCGCACGGTGAGCACGAGACAATGGTGACTTGTCTGCTGAGGCACGTCTGGGCTTGGTCGAGGTGGCCGATTCGTTCAACCTGCGGACGCTGTCTGTGGACTTGCTGAGGTCACGGCTCTTCTGTGTGGGGCGCAAACCAGAGAGCGAGATGGGCATTGCGCGTCTGTGTCCTTCTTACCCTGTCTCCGCCTTTGGTGGACGCCCTACGATAGTAGTAGCGGCCGTTGCGTGGCTGGTCGTGTCTCTTGTTGTTGCTGTGTGTCTCCGTAGTGTCGCTCGACCGCAAGCTTTTGAGGAAGGACTCGTGTTGCTGCAATTCCCCCACCCATCCATCCATCCACCCATATCAACGAGACAATGTCCGTTCCTCCTTGCCTTCTCCCTGGCTGTGTTCCTGTGTGTGTGGGTCACTCATTTCGTTACCTTGATTGGCGTGTCAAGACGCTTTTCATCCCGGCTTCTCTCGCGTTCAAAACCTGCGGATACACAGACATGCGCCACACAGGACAGGCACTCGCGCGCACGGTCAGTCACACTCAGTCCCTCACTTACGCCGCTGCAGCTCTTCTTTGACGGTGGGAGTGGAACTGCATGGACATCCACATCCACACAAAGGCTGCCCGCTTGCATGCTGAGCGCACTCGTGTGTTCAGTCACTCACGCGGTCATCTTCTGCACCGTCTCCGGACGCACCGAACTCAGGAACTGAAATCAGAATAGCGATGTCTCTGGTGGTGTGTGTGACTGGCAGACTCATTGACAGGCTGACCGACGAGGTATACTGCGAGTTTAGCCTCTTGACGACCCGCGTCACCTCGGGCGCCGACCGGCGGGGAGCGGCCGAGGGCGTCAGCGAACGCAGCGACTGCACAGCACACGACGTGAGCAGGAAGGAATACGGCTCCTGCGTACGGATGAGTGCCCTGACCTCTGAGTGTGACAGCATGGACCGCGTAGGTGTCCTTGGTAGGGGCTGCATGTACACCTGTACACACATACAGACATATACACACATGAGCTCACATAGCCAGCGATTGACGCACGCACTGCTTCGCTCACCGACCGGTGTGTGTCGGTAATCGGTCGGCTCTTGCCGCAGGCTGTGCGCGGGAGACGAGGCGCGCCGCCTCTCGTGCTGCTGATATGCCGTCATCTGAACACACAGGCAGACACAAAAGCATATCTGAACTCGTGTGTGAACGTCCGTGATGGACTTGTACGTGCTCGAATGCATAGGACGTGTCGCGTAGCCCGCTCTCCCACACGCCCTTCGGACCCCGAAGAATAAGGACAATGATTGCAGCTGGGCACAGGTCTATTCCGTCACCTTGTTGGTGCCCTTGTATTCATCCCCTTGCGACAAATACATACTCTTTCTCTCTGCATATCAGACAGCAATCTGCATCCTTGGACCAATCCCTGCGCAAATGTCTCACCGATCAGCCGAGGCGCGACCCCTTGACCCAATTCAGCACCAAACTGACACGAGAGACACACACCCGTCACGGCGACATATTCATGTCCTGTGTGGCCGCCTGTACCCGCTCTGCAGGCAGCCTCACACTCAAGCGGTCCCACTGCACCCAAACAGGAGTACACACGGCCTCTCACAATGGTGCCAACCACAATGTGATGACGTGTCTCTCGTGTAAGTATTCCTGAAGGTTGATTCTGTCGCCGGCTCCGACGGGCATCGTCAGCATGTGCGCGGGCAGGGCGGGTGGCGTGCTGCTCCGCTTCCCGGCCAGACGTAACGGCCCCGACAGTGCAAGCGAGGGGCGAGACGCCCTCTTGCCAATGCCAGCCGCCGTGTGGAATGGGAGCCTGGATGTGAGACATAGTTGGAACCGTGTGGCTGGCTTTCAATGTGCTTCAGCCTCACCCAACAAGAGAGGATGAGCAGTAGGCCTCGGTTGGCGGGATGCGCACAGTCGCAGAGACAAAACCTACCGTCTGGCGTGTGGCGGCGTGTAAGATGGCCCATCTCCCTCTCATGCGGCACGACGAGCTGTCCATATCCCTGCACATTCACGGGAATGTGAGAGCGGAGAGCCCGTAATATCTTTTTGTCTGGACGATGAGGTCTTGAGTACGTCAAAACAGTGCTCACTTGAGAGATATGTGTGCCTCGCCGTAGAGGTACACGCTTGGCATGTTGGGCGCCTGTGCCTGGCCGGGGAAGAAGTGCCCGTACACAGATACCACCAACATCTTCACACACAACACGCAAAGACGATCCATCCATTCGCACTTGTGTTGTCTTCTTGCATGTAGCGCATTGATGTAGCGTCGCGTTTCACCGTGGTGGATTCCTGCTTATGCAAGGTGATCTGGTGCTGGTACAGGGAGCAGGTGCTCTGCAAAGGACAGCACGCCTCATCGGACCACGCCCAAGGACGAATTGGTTTGCTGATCGAACCTCTGCATTGACTAGCGGCGTCTGGGTTCCAGCAACCTCTACGCACAGAACAGGCAGCTCACAGCACCAGAAAGAGCACAATGTAGGCTGCCCTGCCGGCCTGGCTGCCTCCCTGTGTGTGTGCGGGTCACCTTCTGTGTTAGGAAATTGTGCATTGCAGCTGTACATGCAGAAACCGTGGTCCCCCAAGTGTGATCCCCGCATCCCCTCCAGCCTCTCCAGTGTCAGCCACACCACCGCTGGACACCCACCCTCAGTGGCCGTCTTGTCTGTCCCCCCTTGGCTGTGGTGCGATGTCTCCACCATCGCATGAGCACTAGAACTCCCTTTGCGCCTCTTGCCCTTCTTCACTTTTGCACCTCGCAACGCCGCCCCCTTTGTCTGTGTGGGCAGGGAAGCCGAGGCGTTGTCGTGATATGGCTGTGCAATGAAGGGAGGAGCCATGGGGTATGCGGGCCAGGCGAGTGGGACAGTGGCCGGGGTGAAAGGCGGCACTGCCCTGAGAGAGAAAGATAGAGCGAGACATGTGAGTCAAACGTTCGTGCGATGCTCGCAATCCGTGGACCGCAGTGGAGGTGAAGGCGGCTTGACGAAGGGCGTGAAGGGGGGAGACGGGTATGCGGCTGGCAAATGGGGAGACGGCGGGACCCGATGCCATTGGGGAACATCTGATGCAGACAAACAAGCAATATCTCACTGCAAAAGAGGCTGGGCGCGCGTCCCTCTGCACTGCCACACCTTACGACCAGTACTGACGTCGCAATCTGCGATGCGCTTTGCCACTGTAGGAGTCTGTTGCGAGCTGAAGCCTGCAAGATGCGAGAGCTCGCCACAGTCTTGAAAATCCATGGTTGTTGCCCCCTTGGTCATCGCAGTTGTTCTTCTGCCCACAAGTAAGTGGATGGGGTATGGCTGGGGCCAATGATAGCGAGGTGCACACTGACAGTCGTGAAATATGTTGCTGCCACTAGTGCTTCTCTACCATGCGCGAGGAAATGAAAAGCTGGTGCGAGGGGAACGGTGGGATGCTAGTCCCGGGGTCCTGCGCGGAGAAGAAAGAGACGACAGAGGTGGGTGACCTGCACAGATAATCAGAGGAGACACAAGCATACATGCATCCACGGCCTGCTCCTGTCTGCCGTTGAGGTGAAACAAGAAGCAGGGTGGCGGGCGGACTCCGGTTTCTCTTATGCAGGGCGGCGGGCGACAGGAGCTGCGTGACATCTATGAGCAGCTGCGGTGGGTAAAGGCACAGCTGCCGACGCTCGAGGCGCTGGTGAGTGAGTGAGTGAGGGATACGGGTGAATGGATGGATGGATGGATGGGTGGGTGGGTGCGTGTGCAGCTGACGGGGCACGTCAACCGACTGGACCAAATCGTCAATTTCCTGCGCTCCATCTGGGTGTTTCCTGAGAATGCACTCACCGCACAACCATCCGCAGACAAACATCACAATGTGTGTTTGTCAGGAGCCTGAGCCCCCCCGCTTCCCCATGTGCGGAGTGTGGCTGGGGGCGTGACGCCGCCGCGTGTGAGGCAGGGGGAGCTGGAGGCACGTGTAGATTGGACATATATTAGGGAGGCACATACGTTTCAGGATGGCACAATGAACGTGCCTCGTTTTTGCTGTCTTGTGCAGGAGCAGCCATCTGCTGCAGCCGAGGGTGCACGACAGGAGGCAGGTGGAGAGACACAGCGCAAGGATGAGACAATACCTGGTAACGCGCAAAAGACAAATGCTGTGGAGTCGTTCGGATGCGTATGCAGAGGCCGAGCTGCCGAGTGACGAGGTGGGTCGACCGAGTACGACAGCGAGGAACGAGCCGGATGGCATGACTGATCGACACAGACACCAATTGCCCATGAAGGCTAAGCAGACGATGCTTCTCCTTGCACTCAGGCCGAAGCGCTCAGCGAATCTGCCGTGAGGGCGCCCAAGAAGGCGATGCGCGGAGCCATGACGAGCGTGCTCTTCGTCCTGAAAAGCGAAGACATGGGCCGGAGGAAATACATGGAGGACAGGCACAAGGTGGTCGACAGCTTCACTGGCGGTGGGAGACACACAGCTTCGCATAGACATCCATGATGTCTCTCTCTCTGTGTGTGCTGTTCAGTCTATGACGGTCATGGCGGCGAGAAGGTTGCCGACTATGTGAAAGAGAAGCTGCACGAGACACTGGCGGAGAAGCTGCAGCAGTCGAACTCCGATGTGAAGGAGAGCTTGCGCCAAACATTCCTCGAGGTGGAAGTAAAGCTCCACGACGTCGACATGAAAAGCGGCACCACAGCCACCGTGTGCGTCGTCCATCCGAAGACACAGAAGGAGGAGAAAGACCAAACCCTCACGTGTGCCAACGTCGGTGACAGCCGTGGCGTGCTCGTCAGTGGAGATGGCCAGACGCAACGAGTCACCACAGAGCACAAGGCAGGTGAGGAGGCGGAGCGCGCCAGGATCAAGGAAGCAGGAGGAGTGGTCTGGTTTTTGGGTACCTGGCGAGTGGGCGGAGAGCTCGGTAAGCAGGATGGGCCCCCAGCCAGACACACTCCAGACGGGATCCATCTTATCACCTTCCCTGCTTTCCGTCCTCTCAAGCCGTGAGCCGCGCTCTGGGTGACCTGAACTTCAAGGAGAGAAAAGCCGGCAGGGGCTGCACGGCGGAGCCGTCTATCTTTGAGAGGACCTGAAGAACGCCCAGTACGTGATCTTGGCTTCAGATGGGTGTGCATTCGCGCATACCCAAAGATGTAATGCGCCTCTATCTTTCTCTCTTGTCTCTTGCAGACTGTGGGACAAGGTGGACGACAAGGAGGCGGCTGAGGTCGCTCGAAGATGCGAAGGTGGGACGGCGGCCAAGGCTCTGGTGGGCAGGTCTCTCTCTTTGCTGCGACATTTATTGTGGGTTGTGGAAGGAAGAGACAACAAGACTATACTAGGTGGTATTTGCATAGGAAGTAGGGCTGTTGGCGATTTTGGTGGGGCATGTCTTGTACTGTACACAATCGATACTGGACACACTCTTCATGGGATGCATTGCGATCATCCATCAGTGTAGGCAGTCACTCGACGCACATGTACGCGTGAAACAGAGTCATGCCATCAGTAGTCGCTCAACTTCTACACGACAACACCCACGTGTCTTCCAGCCACTGCTGCGTCACCTTCCCGCCCTGAAGGACGCGAGCAGCTTCTGTGGTAGTCCCTTTCTCTCCTTGGGCGTGTGCACCAACTCCCCGTCCTTGACCTGCGTCGTACAGCAAAAGGCACCAATACATGGCATGTGAAAGCACGTGTAAGTCCCGTCAGTGTGGAGATGGTTGTGCGGCACTGACCATTTGTTGTTTTGCGTGGTCCATGACCTCTGCCCGAGGTTGCGACACCTGCAGATGCGAGCCGACGACACTCCGTGCCTCCTGGAGGTACTTGGGGTGGTAGACCAAAAGCTCAGACTCGGGTTCTGTACATACGAGCGCAGATGTCCACAGAGACACACAGCCACCAGATGTGAGCCCACAGAAGAGACATTACAGATGTGTGTTATCCCCTTCTTACCGAATTCATATCTGAGTCTAATAGCGCTGGTGATTGTGGGCATATATACACATTGCTTCTTCTTGCTGAACTCCTTCTTGGCCGTCTCGGCAGATCTCACACGCGACACCAGGCTGTCGGACCGGGCTCGAATCTTGGCCATGATGTTGTAGATGTTCTCCCATTGGACTGGATGGAGTGTGCCGATGACTCTCGGGATACTCACATAGAAGCTCCTGGATACAACAGACGGGTACCATGCTGCAAGTGTTTCGACATGACAAATCAGTACTCTTCCGTTTTTCTTTGGATGCCACAGATCCCGGTGAATTCGTAGCGGGTGGTGGAGCGGGTGGTGGAGGAAGACACACACACACGGGGGGTTGCTGGCCGGTCCCGCTCGACATAGTTTCACATCGGGTGCCTGACCAGGCACTAAAGAAGCGTTCACGCGACAACATCATGGCACTCGTGGTCGTCTTTTAGTGCACATGCAAACAAACAACAGAAACAGACAGACAGACAGACAGACAGACAGACAGTGAGCGGCCGGCCTTTTTTGCAATCTTGACAGTCAGCTGACAAATGCGAGCACTCGTGGTCGAGAGAGACACAATCACGCAGAGACCTTCTTAGTCACGCGATCAATCAACAACCGACGGACGCAGTGGAAGATTCGCATTGTGCGTGCAGCAGATGACTTGAGCCAACTCCAAATGCACACGCATAGTCAGCTCACATGGGACATCCATTCATGCAAGGCGGTGGCCATCATTGTCACCCGTGACATCGACGCTGATGAGGAGCTCCTCGTTGCCACGTATCACTGCGACAAGAACAAGGTCGTGACGACAGCCCGGGGGTATGAGCTGTAGGCCGGTGCAGCGCAGATGAGCTGCAGTGAGTGGATAGGATATCGATGGATTATGAGAGAGTAAGGCCTCGTCAGACCCGTAGGTGTCCACCGTTGGTCGTGTCTATAGAACGTGTATACATGTTGTGTGTGCGTGTGTACGTGTTGTACATGTTGAGCGTGCCTTCGTGTATCTGTAAGAGTATTTTGCATGAGCTGCCGCTGCCGACCACTCCCCCGCAGACACCCACACTGCACACAATGAAACACATACACATCATCTCACGAATGAATGGCTCTTCGCCGAGTGCCACCATACGTGGGGTGGTCAAAGGATGACAAAGAGCACGCCAGCGGCAAAGAGGGGCAAATCAAAACAAATTGCCTCTGCCTGCACATGCCGTTGCCTTTTCTTCTCCATGCTTTGGCAGGGGGACAACTTGAGCAGATTCTGCCGCTCAGAAAGGCCAGCTGAGGCATCCCACCAGCTCTTGACCTCATGGGCTGCTGGTGGTGACCACTTCAGCCAGTTTCTCATCGGTTCAATCTTGCCGCGATCCATCTGCGAGCTAAGCTCGGGAGGGAAGGAGATGTTGACGGATTTGGTGGCAAAGATGGCGTCAGCCATCTGTTGGCCTCACCCTTGTGAGATCCTCGTGCAGTACTGCTCGCAAGAGCCCATTCTCCTGCAAACATTTGCCGAGTCGCACATCCGAGCGGTCTATGCGGTGCTCCAGGAGGCGTACCCGCAGCTACCGACCCGTACGCACAGGAACAACACCCATCCATTCGCTGGACGTGGCCCTGATGTGCTGCTTGCCTTCCGCTTGTGTGTCTGTGTGTGTCTGTATGTGTCTGCAGAGTCTAATGCAACGCTCCTACAGATGGCGCAGTCCATCAGCCAGTACTTCCGCTCTCAGCCACTGGTGGCCGGCTCCCACCTCCCACAGCCCTCCCCATCGCCACCTGCCCCTCCCCCGCAACACCCACGCCACTCGCAGTCGCCAGGCCATCACGGCAGGCCAATGCCGTCCGGCCACCACCCACCAGACATGACATCCGAGCAGCAGGACCTGGATCGTCTGAGCGACGAGTACTATCGTCAGCTGCTGGCCGGTGGCGAGTTCCCGAGGCGGCAGCAGCCCTTCGAAGAGCCGGTGCAGCACATGCAGACCTTCAAGGTCACCCTGCCGCGGCCTGAGGAAGTGCCCCAGGCCGCCCAGCACTTTCGTGTGTGTACGGTCCGCTGGTGGGTGGACGGGGCGCTGCTGAGCTATGTCAAGGGGAGCGGGCAGCAGAACAATCGTCCCTTTGACTTTTGTGTGCGGCTGGTGAACCAGCACGGCATCGACATCCCATGGCTACAGAGCAAGTGGTACCTCCAGCCGAGCGGCAAAGAGGGCGAGGTGACCAGTAAGCGAACGAATGAATGCGTGTGGGAAGACAGAGAGACCGGAAGGAAACGGAATAGCACATTGACTGACACCGCCGGCAGGGTGACTGTGTCTGTCTGTCTGTCTGGCCCATGTGCGTGCAGGTGGTGCCTTCCGGGACCGTGCACGTTGGTGCAAGGATGAGCACAGGCAGCTGTGCTCCTATGGCGAGTCGATACCTATCACCGACTCCCTGCAAGGCGACGGTATGTCACTCCGTCTGTCAGAATCACCCACTTGGTCTGTATAAGCGACACGCCTTCAAATTGCCTGTTGTTAAGTGCAGCGTTGAACGAGTTCACTCTCGTTGCGTCCAAGCAGTGCCTGGCATTCAAGACCACCTACCTGCCACAAGAGACCGGCAAGGTCACACGGAAACCACACCTGCCATCCGCATCTATTCTTCTTCTCTGTCTGTCTCTCTGTCTGCCTGCCTGTCTGTTTCCGTGGGCGTGATGTGTGCAGGTCGACGATTCCCGTGAGGCGTACCTGGTGCTGCAGCTGGTGAGGTATCGGCATCTGCGGGAGCTCGAGGAGGAGGTGCTGAGCTCGCGCATCGAGCGCAGGCCCTTCGGCAACGGCAATGGTGTGGAGGAGGCCGACGGGGCGGGGCGTGTGGTGGTGTCACTCAAGGACGTCTTCTCGAGGACGGACCGAATCAAGATACCCGCAAAGGCGAGCCAACCATACAGTGGATGGATGGATGGATGGCTGTGTATTCCATGCGTCGCGTGTGTGCATTGCAGGGGCGGCGTTGTCGTCACGAGCAGTGCTATGAGCTGTCCTGCTTCCTCTATCCCAGGGTAAGGCGTGAATGACAGACAGACGTGGGCAGGCACTCTGATATGTCTGCCTTACTGCCTGGTCGGTCCCAAACAGCGGCGGGCGTACATATGGCACTGTCCCATCTGCAAATCCCCACTCCCCTTCTCAGACCGTGAGTGAGCCGGATGGGCTAACGCCAGCCACTGCTGGTTGCTCCATGGGTAGGTACCTTTGGGATTGTGTGTGTCTGTGCTGATGGACGAATGAATGCAGTTATGGTCGACGAGGCGATGCATGACGTCCTCCTGCAGACCAGCCAAGACACAGAGGAGGTACATGCCAGCCACAAACCTTAGCGTCCCCTTGATGTCTGCCCCCTCTCTGTCGTGTGTTCAGATATGCGTCAATCCCGATGGCAGCTGGGAGGCCATCAGAGCTCAGCCCACCACCAGTGGACGCCCCCCGTCCGTCAGCGGCGACGGGGGCACGCCAATTGCGGCCGCGGACCAACCGACGGTATCAGCTGCAGATGACATCAATACTGACGTGGGGCGGCCTCACAAAAGGCAGCGGGCTGACCGCCATACGACCATCGCTGTGCCGGACGGACCCACCGACGACGCTCTATTCGGTAGGCAGGCGGGCGGGCAAGCCACCCAAACATGGCCAAACACGCAGGGGCAGTTTTCTATATGTGGTGCGTTTGTGGGTGTCTGCTGGCAGCTCCCCCGCCCCCTCGCACCGTTGTCAAGATGGAAGACACCGGAGACTGACTGACTGACTGACTGACTGAAGCAACCGACGAGCGAGGACCAGACAGACAGAGGCGGCCAAACGGCGTCTCGTCTTGAGAGCTGGATGAGTATTTGTCTGCCTGTAGACAGACGATCTGTCAGTCTGTCAAGCGCTTCACGAGAGCGAGAGAAAGGCCAGGCGGGCACCTGCTTGTCTGATTATGGTTGTTGACTCGCTGTTTCCCAGTGCTCTGAGGAGAGCCATTCATGCTGCTTCGACGCAGCTTCGTTGCTTGTTTGCCTCGCTGCTTCTGTTGCAATTGGGCTCACTTGGCCCCACTCTGGCGGCCCCGATCTCGGCTCTTTATGGGTGTTTGACGGTGAAGTATGGTTCACAGTGATCAGCGAGGCACGCTGGCCACATGCACATGAATCATTAACCAACTTGTGCAATTTACAGCGGCTAAGGGATTTCCCATTACGCTATGAGTTAACGTACATATGATTTCCGATTCCCACCCTGATGCACCAGGAATATCTACTGTTGAGGATAAAGCCAAATTGGGATCTCGTGTGTGTGTATGTCTTAGCAGCAATGGGGTCATTCAAACTTGACAATCAATGTGGGGGTCTGTGGGGGCGAAGAAATGAAGAGTGAGCCCTTCCCGACGCTGCGAGGCGCTGTGCGACAAGGAAGCGCGAATCTCCCATCATGAACGACGTTCCCGCCAGCGGTGAGAGCGGCAACCCGCTCACCTTCGCGCCATGGTGAGGACACTGTCAGCAACCATGTGGCACAAAATGTGTGTTTGATGCAGGCAGGAGGGACTCTACGGGGTTTTATATGTCATGGATTCTTCCACAAACGAAAAGCCAGAAGAAGCAATCATCGTCGGGACAGGTTGGCAGTCCCCTTGTGCGCACCGCTCTTCTCGTCCTGTGTGTGCATGGCTGTAGGAATCCGCGTGCCTCCCCTGCAATACGTCAATCTTGTCGTGGTGTTCGTGCTTGACCTTCTTCAGCTGGTGCCGCTGTTGCTGCCGCTGAATAAGGCTCTCGGGTGCGAAAAATGGGATATATACAGAGATACGGTCAGGCACAGAAACAGCTAGCGGTGGATTATCTCTGTATGTGTGTGGGGTTGCGTGTGTCGGTTCATGTCAGTGCATACTCCAGTTCTTCACCTCCCCTTTTGAGATTTTTGGAGGTCATGATGCAGGGGACGACGCGTACATGCAAAGACCAGACACTGCCTGTGTGTTGACCCCTTGCAGGACGAAACAAGATTCAGTACTTCAGCGTTCTCGGCTTTCTCTGTTTCGTCATTCTCCTTACGGCCGCGACGGTATGGCTGGTCGCGCAAACCTTCAAATCCAAGGAGGTGTGTCGTCCAGTCTGGCGCACAAAGACAACAGGGCAGGTGCCAACAAAATACTGGTGCTCCTCCTGCGTTCACGAGTAGGTGCATCTGATAACGCCAATCATTTTTCTGAGGGGATTTGTCCGGATGTGAGCAGCCGCCGCATCTCATCGACATGCGATTGCTCCCTTGTCAGTCGTCCCCCTTCTCCGCTATGTATGCAGCTTCGTGACGACCTTCTTCTCCTCATCTGTCGCCATTCTTATGTCTCTGTTTTCATGCTCGCTGATGAAAAACCGACTGAGAGACGGCGACTTTCAGTGTTGGGAGGCTTCCCATATCATCATGCTGTTCCCTTCCATCGCTGCCCTGTCCTTCCTGGTACGTGTCGCTGTTGTCATGGAATGTCAGCTGATCGATGAACGGCACACACAATTGATGTTCTACTTCAGGTGCCTCTGGGGCTAGTCACCGCGCTGCTTTACAACAATTTCAAGCCTTTTTCACCAGATTTGTCAGTGCAAGCGCACGGGCGAGCCGAATTTTGGTGCGCTTGCATTATCACACATAAATGTGCCTGCATCGGTGGGTGTCCGTGTGTCTGGCCTAGGTACACGGCGACGAAGACACTGATCAACCTGACCTTCATCACCTCCGTATCGAAACCTGCCTGGTCGATATATTGCGCGTCGATCAACCTTGTGGCGCTGGGCTACGTGGCAATCTTGTTCTTCGCGCAAGGTAAGTGAGCAGATGAGTGAGCGACCGTAGTGAAGGTCGCTTGCGAGACACCGCGACACACCGCCCCTCTCTCAATGGCTTATCGCTGCACAGCCCCATTCTACCACAACATTGCGAACAGGATGCGTGACGGCATTCTAGCAGTCCTTCTGACGATTGCTGTCTTTGCTTTGATACGAGAGATTCGTTTCGTCGACGTGAGCAGCCATAGCCAGTCTCCCAGGCTTTCTTCTGGTACACAGTCGGTCACTCCTATGTGTTGCCACCTGCGTGCAGGACTTGCTGGTGGTAGGTGTGTGCCTGTTCACGCTGCCGACTGGTGCACTGCTGGGGCTGGTGCGCAAGGACATTCTGCGACAGGAGATGGCCGCTGAGACACACTCCCTCATGGCTGTGTTTAACGAGGACTACATCGAGGCATTAGCGGCACTGCTGGCTGAAGAGACGGGAGAAGGAGGAGCTTCTAGAGCAGACAAGTGCGCAACATACACCCAGATACTCTGAGACATACTTTATGTGGTGGTGCTGAGTGGCTGCAGGTGTTCCGACGAGCGAAGTGACAGCACTGAGAGCGTCGCCCAAGGCGAGGGCGGCCGGCCTGCCGGGGCCATCGTCCCAGTGCTTGCGGCCCTCGCACGGCCGCCTTCTAATCAGGCCATCGCCCTGGGCGGATCGGCTATCACGAGGCAGTTCTCACGATCCGCATCGGTAGCAAGCAAGACCGTCGGGAACAGACGTGTTGTTGGGGCGGCAGCTGAGAACCAAGAGCCCAAGAGCGGAGCAGAGCTCGTGCAGGAGCGGATGAGCTCATACTGGTGCACGTATGGGTGTGCCTGCAGCCAGATTGGTATGCTGATGTTGGTCAATGCAGATTGACGAGGCTGAGAGCCAGCATGATATGGGAGACGGATCTCGAGCTCGTCCTTCGGGTCTTTCGCGACGAATGGTTCGCCAAGACATACGTCGCGACAAATGAGAGAGATCAATGACTGACAGACTTCTCGATTGATGATCATTAGGTTTCTGATCTCAAGCCGTTGGCCCGTGCGGTGATGATGGAGACAATGCTTGCGGTCCTGCAATCGACTTCCTTCTCCGCATACACATACATGGTAAAGGAAAAAGGGCGGATCCCGATTCGTTCATCCGGGGCTCTCGTGTGTCATTCAGCGGCTGGCGCTCGTCAACCGCTACTTCTTGTAAGCGAACCGACCAACGCAGTGCAGACCGTGTATGTCTCATTGTCGTGTACAGCGATGAGACATTTCTGTGCTACAAGTACATCAAACTGTCGCACTCGCATGCATCGAAGTGGCACCTGGACACCAACTACATCCTATATCAACTCCAGAAAGACATTGAGACAGGTAAGGACACTACGGAGATCAAGTGCTTCTTTCAGGATATTGAGTTGCTGTCCAGCAAGGCAGATGGAGTACTTGGTAAGGACAGTCACACATGCACACATGTTCGCATTCCATGTGCTGCTTATCAGGGTGGTGGCAGCAAACGAACCAGCTTGATCGACATTATGGTCAGTCAAAGCGGGCACGAAGAGAACTCGATTGGATCGACTTCTGTGTGTATTCAGACGTACCAGAAGGTGGGGAGAGAATGAGTCAACATGGACGAGAACAAATAACAGGAGAGGGATAAAAAAGTAAATGCAGAACATTTTCTTCTCTTCACCTTAGTGGTCACGTGCCGCGAGAATGAATCACATGCAGGCACTGAAGAAAATGGCTCGAGTGAGCGCGCCATTGATTCATTCGCTCACTCTTTCATTCATCCATTCATGAGACATGGGTATGCATGTGGTTTGTGCCCGCAGTTCTGGCGCGCCCTGGCGACAGAAAGCAAGATGGCTAATTCCAAGCCCTCGAAAGCAAGGTGAGACCTTGATTGGCCGCTTACTATTGACCGCCTTGGCTTCTGCCTGTGGCAGGGCAATGATGCTGAGTGAGGCACTCGCTGCAGTGTCCAGCGCCCACCAAGCGTATGTCAACCTGCTGCGGCGGTTTCCAAAGAGCAAGGTTGGTTCGTACAGCGGGTTGACACACGAGCAATCGGATACCCATGCTTTCCGAACACATTGAAGGATGCTCTTGAGCTGTTCGCGACCTTTGTTCGGTCAGTTTGCGAATGGTCAGACATGGTCTGCTTATCTGGTTAGTCGTGTCGTGTCTTGTGTGTCGTCAGGCAGCTGTACAACGATGACAGCAGGTTTGGTCAATGACGCGCCGACAAAGGAGCACTCTTAAAAGATGATGCATTGCACTCTAACTTAAAGGGCGGAGCTCTTAATGATCCAGGCGGATGCTGATGCTGATGACCGATCTGTCGCTTACAGTGAGCAGAATGCATGAAAGCACGTACATGCACGGGGCCGTCACTTGTGCCAACGTATCTGTCGATCTCGCATGCAGGCCACAATCCCTCGTCGCTTGAATCGCCCGACCCTGACGGAGGATTCGAGATTCGCGAGGGAGGTACGAAGCCTTCGTTCACATACTCGGCTCACGCAATGGTTGGCGCCATGAAATGCAGGCAGCAAGAAAGAAGAAAACATTGGCCTAATAGAAATCACCAAAAAAAGAAGACTCAAGGTATGCAAACATCAATCAAGAAGGGAGGCCTCATGCGTTCTTCTGCTCATTTCTAGTGGGCTGAAGTGGTTGCCATTATCGGTAATGATTGCTTGGCCGGTGCACATGGGACGGAAAGCTGTGTTGCCTGTTTTGTTTGTGTGTTCTTGATCTGCCGCAATGAAGGCCTGGTCGTGATGATTGTCATTGGAGTGGTGACTCACTTCGTGCAGATTGGCGAGCTCCAGTTCACGACTGAGGTCAGCGAGACTGTGTATGGTCTCGGGTGGCAATGGATTATCTTTCTTCTCGTTGCAGAAGCTTCACGATTTGCAATACAATCGCATCCTTATTAACAACTGGTATGCTTCATGCACCCACACTCGTATATAAGCCTGCTTGCATTCTGGTGTCCTTCTCGCCTACGTGTCACGTCGCCACGGGTCAACCTCTTGTGCAGGGCCAAGGTGCGTGCGCAAGCAGGATATGTTTCCAGCCTTGTACACATCTTCTGTCTTATCTCTGCTGCAGATATGCAACAGTGTCACAGGTACAGATACTGTTAGAGATGGGATATTTTTCTCACACATCCTGCAAATACCTCAGTTACTCACACGTGGTGGAGACACCTTACTGAAGAATTTCCTCTGAGCGCGGGGACTCATGTAGATGTGACTCAGCCGCTGAACGTCACTGAAGAAGAAATTCGAGCTCGCATTCAGCGAGAGTTGGGGGACATTGGGAGATACGTCGCGGAGATAACAGATGCCGCTAATTTCATCATCGACAAAGCCATCAGGGTCACCCTGGACATCTAGAAGAGAAGGGACACGCATGGACGTATGGATGAAGGATGGCATGTCTTGTTTAGGAGAAAATGCGTGACGTTGAAGACTTCTATCGAGACGGAAGTGCTGATCTCTCAGTTGTTACTTTTGACGGTATGTGACATGAATATGCCAGTCGATCGGCCAATGAATTATCCCCTGCTTGCTTTCAGACTTCGGAAATAAGAAAATCAGGGTAGCACACGTATATTTCTCAGATACCTGTCAGCTGTCTGCCCTTCTTGCTGTGTATTGTTCAGGAGAAGATCACATATTCTGGTTCGGTCCTGCACACATGTACGTTGGTGTGTGCAGGACCCCGTTCTTGTTGTGCAGGGGTCGTCGCTGACTATCTGCTGGCTGTCTTAAGAGTGATGGGGGAGGAAGCTAAAGATGAGTCGATTGATCTCAAGGACGTCTTGCAAGTAAAAGTGGCCAGACACATCGTTATTGATCAACGTAAATGGATAGTTTGCCCACATCTGCTTATCGCCGCTCGCTCAGAACTGTCTCGGCAAGGCGGGTGACGGTGGTCAGAAGATCATCGAGGTACGTACGGATACAATGGATCCACAATTGCCACCTTCTTCCGCTTGTATCGGTCGCAGATGGAACTTTCACACATAAACGACGGTGAGCAAAAGGAACACACTGTGTACCCATCGCAAGTTTATTGTGCCTCCAGTCGTGGCTCACAGTGAAACCGTGATCCTGGCGATGATCACCTGCTTTCTCATTTTCAACCTGTTAATCGCTCTTGTGGTCTTGCGGATGGTTCAAGTGGGAATGGTGAGTATGTCTATGCATGGGTCGCGTCGATGGATGACATGTCTACATTTGTGTGTGTGTGCAGTCCGAATTTGATCTGCTGGGTCAGTCGGGCTTGGCCATAAATATCGCCTTCTCTCTCACACACCGCCAGAAACTCCGCCTTCGAAGACGTTTTGCCCGTGAGAGCCGGAAGGGCATCGATTTCGAGGGCATCGACATTCAGTAAGGCTCCCTCAGATCGCACTGACCCGTGGCTCTTGTGAGCTGTACAGGGCTGGAGAATCGAGAAGGAGCAGTATGCTGGACCGGGACTATGACTCGCCTGCAAAGCAACTCGCCCCACCATTCAAATCGGCGCTGAAGTCGAGTGAACGCAGGAGCATTACGGCCGAGGAGCATTTCGGTGCCATGAAGTCACCCACAAGCAATGACGATTTCGCATTGACCCCGGACGTGAGTGGCGAGGCGGTTGCTTGCGGATCGGTACGAGTGGCGAGCCCGAAGGGGGGCGGACTTTTGATGCATCATGAGGCAGTGACCTTCGGGAGTGACAACACGGCGGTGGGTGAGCTACTCAGACGCTCACAAGATATGAGCACGCTCGCTCTTGACCTGCTGCAGGATGTTTCGAGAAGCCCTCCAGCCGATACCGGTATGGCGTCGGCGGACGAGCGGCTGTCGGGAGGTGGTTGTGAAAACGCTGAAGTACCAATCAGGATCAGTAATGCAGTAAGGCATCACACAGTCGTCTGGCGTAGAGGCATCACATATCTCTGCGTGTGGCCTCCGTGGGCAGCACGATAGGGAAAAGGTATTCGATGACAACGTTGGGGCCAAGTAGGGAAAAGGTATTCGTATGCGGCTACAGACGACATGATGCGTTTATGTGGTCGCAGTGCATCGTCCATGCAGCCCGATGTCTTCCTCGACCTCTTTGCAAAGCCAGAAGACTCCCACCACCCGGTGAGTCCCGACAACGTGAGTCTGTGCCAAGTGAGGTATAAACGATCGCTTCGCACAGGTCGCTTCTGGCGAGACAATGTTTAGGGAGCCGAAAGAGCCAAGAATAGCCTTCGAGGGCGGCGCAGGAGTGGCAAAGTACACGTCGTCACTGACGTAAAAGCATAAATGCCTTACCTTGGAGAGTTTTTGTGAAAGAATGTCGTGCTTCTGTGCTGTTTTGGCAGAAAGGATTTGTCACCCTTGTCGGCGACTTGTGGTGGTACGCGGAGGAGTAGGAGTGACACCGATATGCGCCTGCACCAGAGGTGGCTGCTGTGGAGGAAATACTGCTGCCCCCGGGAGCCGCCAAACATTTGCAAGTGGGCAACGACAACTCTCTTCGGGCGGCTTTCGCGGCTGCTGCTGATCTTTTGGACCCTTGTCCTCGCATACTCCATCTTCACGTACTCATTCATGGTATGCCTCTAAGTGAAGACTCGCCGCAGGCCAGTGTTCGTCGACTGATGATGAAATGTTTTCAGGCAGCAGAGATGGCGCGCGTAGACAACATGACGGAGGAAGTAACACCCTGCATAGCTCACCCTTCGAGCGCCTGCATCCATCTATGAGCACACTGTGATCTATGCAGGTGATGCAGGCAACTCTCGGTGAGTACCGCTTTCGGCACACTCAAATCGCCAGCATTCATTTGGTCGAACCAACCCTGTAAGCCCAACACTAAAGGCCTACACACATGTACACACACACACACACACACACAGACCCAGGCTCGATAATCCAGACAGACAGACAGACATCCTGCCTGCCTGGTGCATGCACATTTATGTTCCCAATTGGCCTTGGCGCGAGACACTTGCTGAGAGCGCTCCAAGTTGGCCGGAGTACTTTGTGGTCAGCGGCCCTTCAGCGAATGAGTACAAGTACTGGTCATCATCAATGCGTGTCCCTCCGTACGTGTTGCAGGAACAGCTGTCGCTCGGCGCCGAGCAGGTGACTACACTCCTGTATCAAAAGAGCAAGACCTCGGGCGAACCGGTGACTACAAGTCGCATGAATCACACAGATTGACTGACCTGCCTAGGCCACCCCTGTAGCTGAGCATCGTCTGTACGATGTCGCTGCTTTGTCGGTGATGGCTGTGTATATACATCTTCAGATCGACCGTCGATTTGAAGCCCGTCGGAGGTACGTATATAGTCTGGCGCGTATAGTCTTCCTATGCCGATCCCCCCTTTGTTTGCTGCGCTGCCAATTGCCTACAGGTTGCTCTACTACCCTGGCTGTCTTCTCCTGCCACCTGTGCTGTCATGGCCGGCCTTTGTGCGCCCATCTGTCGCGTCATTTGACTGTGCTTTCCTTCTGTGTGTGTGAACGCAGGAAGGCACATGCGATAACAGGACGAATCCTTACCCCTTCTCAGGCACGCCTTCCGCTCACACACAACAGACTGCTCCAAGCCAGCACTCAGCAGCCAACTCATTTTCTTCCACCTTTCACGGGACTACTCAGAAAAAATGGAGGCTGGATTCTATCCTGCGTTGGTGGCGTGGTACGTAAACCACCTGCTCTTGATACCTGTGCCTTTACCTCCCGTTCTTTTCAGGTTTGAGGAGGCTGAAAGGTTCTTCCTGAACTGGGTACTATGCGAGTTATGATCAGCACCGGAGGCTCGGGATGACAAATAGTGTATGCCATGGCAGGTCTATGGCGTGGGAACACCTCGCGAGTACTACGAGCATCCTTTCTATGTGGAGGTCAACCCCTATGTAAGACGGCTGTCGTCCAATTCTCATTATTCCTTCGAGGAGCCAGGAGAAGCACACAAGCGGCCAAGGCTGTCTTGCAGCGCCTGAAGCGTCTGATAGAGCACCAGACTCCCCAGCTGGTCGAAACAAGATCAACCGGGGGACCCGTGAGCTGCAAACGAATGGCGGAAACGGTACGACCGGGCCCGAACGCATGGTGCGGCCGTGGCTGCCACCCGACTACTGGTGGATCTACAACACATTACGTTACGACATAGGCAGCGTAAGGGGATGTAGTTTGTTGTTAACGTAATGTGGGACGTAAGACAATGTGAATCAATGGCCTATGTACGACATAGGCTTTCGAGACGCTGCAAAAACTCTTCATCGACGTAAGCGTAAGTGGATGTATTGTGAGCGTAAGTCCCCATCCCTGCTCGGTTGGTGTGTGCAGGAGGCAGAGAGCGACTTGAAGAAGCATGAAGGTGACTTTTCCCTGTTTCCCTGTCTGTCTGTCTCACGCACATGTGTGTATTGGGCTGCAGCAAAGTTGTGGATACTCGGAGCGACGGACTGGGTAAACACAGCTTTGCTTGGACGTGCTTGTCGCAAATGAGTGTGGTCCCTTGACAGGCAATTATCTTCGTTGCTGCCCTGGTCGTCCATTTCCTGTTGTTCAAATTTTTTCGGAAGGACCTTCTAGAAGTCGTAGCTGTTTTGCGTATCCTGCCGGAAGACGACATAGAGGTACTGTGGTACTGTGTGGTCAGCAACGTCGACCCCATTGCCTATGACTAGCTATATTGACGCATGTGTCTCTGTATCTGTGCAGCAACAGAAGCTCTTCCATCTCTTCAACATCGATCTGGAGGTAGACGTCGGGCATCGTATGTAGGTTCGCATACCTCTGTGTGTGCTTGCAGAATGAGGAGGGATCCCAAGGGAGTGAGGCCACCGTCTAGTGTCGTCTTGCGTGTTGGTCCATACAAACTTGTCGATTGGCCAAATGCAAGCCTTATTTTTTGGGGTTCAGCCCGAGGACATACCAATCATCCTCGTATTTGCCGTGCAGTACAGACGCTAGTTTTTTGTGCTGTATCGGTGCTGATATGCCATCGTACCTGCGTGTGGACTGTGCACTCAATCGCTGTCTGTCTGTTGAATCGACGCGATGTCTTTTGCATCGGCCCTCATCGCTTGATTCGTAGTTAGTAGGCGGACTTCCTTCTGGCTGGCTCAGCCTGGCTGTATCTGATTTAAGCGGCGGACGGACTTGACTGATTCAAGCGATCACAAATGACTGAGTGTACAAACGCCCACGTCAGCTACTCTCGACTGCAGCAAGTTCCGACTGCTTCTGTTCGGCTTCAGCATTCTGATGAAATTCGACCGCTTTGTGCCATGACGCTAATTGCCCTCATCTTCTACTTTGTCAACCGTCTCGCGGCGGTGCTCTAGAGGGAGGGAGGGAAGGAGATGTGCCTTGCCCTCTATCAAATGCGGAGTCACCAGGCTTGCCTCACGAACACACATAGAATCTGATGCGAGCAGCGGCTGTCTCTCTGTAGGAGTGCCGAATAACGCTCTCCTCTCTCACACCAAACGATTGACAGCAGCAAGGCAAGACAGGCGAAGCATACCTCAGATCTGCATTTGATGCAAGCAAACATAGATGCGGGCTGCGGCAAAGCAAAACAGACCCGACGACCATTTTCAGACCCTAGCCCGGGGTCTGGGCTAGGGTCCCCGGTCTGGGCTAGGGTTTGCAAAGAAACCGACGTCACCCAATCTGGCAGAATAAATGGTGATGGGTATGTTTGTGCGGTACGCTGTACAGAACCACATCAGCTGAGCATGAGAAGGCGATCCGCATGCGGATTCGAACTCGAAAAATTATGTGAGGGAGCGGAGCGCAACGGCCGTGAGAGGCCAGTAGCGCATCCACCGGCCGCATCCATCCAGTTGCTCGTCCGGCACACCTCATCCAGTCGGCAGCCCTCCCTTCTCCCCCTCTCTCTGTCTCTGATTGTTCGTCTGTTCCTTTCCTTTCCTTCCTTCTCTGAGCCGCCAGCTCCCCGGCCTCTCTCCTGACGATGATGGTCCGTCTGATTGGGCTGCTGGTCCTCCTCGCCCTCGCCGGGGTCGCCCACTGCCACATCCGCAAACTTGCCCCTGAAGGTATTTCCCCGAATGCACATGGCGTCTGCATCGCACCTTGCACTCTTCTTGTCTGGGTCTTTCTTCGTCACGCAAGGTCATCACGGGACCTCCACGACCACCGCCGCTCCGGCACCCAGCAACGACCCAGACGCCACGACCACCGCCGCTCCGACACCCAGCATCGACCCAGACGCCACCACCAAGAGCGACGGCATGTACGACGGTGAGGAGAATTAAGACCAGCTGTGGTGCGGTGTTTTGATTGCTCTGTCGTTTGCTTGTCTTGCCGCTTCCTTTTTGATGCAGGCTACGATGACCTGGTTGACCTGTCTCCGCACGATTCGCCGGACGAGGGCGACAATGCGCCTGCTCTGAACGCAACGCAAGAAAGTATGTCCACACACAAACGACGAGGTGTGCATCCTTTCGTAACTGTACTAAATGTGTACTTTCGCGTGCAAATCAGTCTGGCGCGGCTGCCGGGCCCGCTATGTTGTTCGAGATCGTAAGCTCGATGACGATGTCACATCAGAAACTACGCACGTGTCGACTGATTCCTTCTTTTCTGCCTTTTGTGTGCGATGTGCAGTTTCGGACAGTGGCCTCGACGTCCTGAGTATCGGTCACTTCAGTGCCAGAGGAGAGTGTCGCCGTTTCGTTAAGAACCGTTGTCGCGAGCGAGCGCGCGCCGCTGCCCACGAGTGCATGAAAGACGCCTGGAATTTTGCTCCCAGTCGGAACCCACCCACATCGTGCAGGCGTACGTGGGGAAACAAGAGAGTGAACGACTACCAAGCCTCCTCTCCCCTGAAGACATGGATACAGCGGGAGGCCTGTGCAGAATGGCGTCCGTGCCAACCCAAGCGTGCCAGGGTCGCGGTACAAGCCGTAACGACAGGCGACTCTGGCTGCGGGAGCACAAGGGAGCTCGGGACGATGGACGTCCGCTGCTGACCAGAGATAGACACAGAGGGGCTGGTGATTGAGATCGAAAAAGATGAGGGGAGGGTGAGAGGGAGGAAAGGCGGGCATTCAATAGAGGGAGGCAGGCATGCCATCTGTTCATACCCACCTCTTTCTTTCTCCCCACCCACCTTTTTCTTTCTGTGGGCTCACTCTGGCCGACCACGGACACACACGATGGGTGCGCGGGTTTAGCCGAGAGGCGACCAGCAAGTATTTTATGGGTGGGTGGATTCATGTTTCTGGCAACTGTTGGTTGGTGTGCGCATACCCGTGGGCGGTGTCCAACACATGCGAATTGGGCATGTGTGGGTCTTCACTCACGCAGGCTGACCTCTGACGGCTTTACTTATCGTGGTACGGGGTGGGAATTAGGGGGAGGGACTTGCCTTGATGCACAATTGTTGCAGCCACAGACGTGCTGATTCCTTCTACTTGTGGGCGGTGCATGACACACACGTGTTGACCAGAATCCACTGGTCTGTCTGCTGCTTGATCCATGTGCACCATGTGTTGTCATGTGCCGTGAGGTCGTGCATGTGCCGCGTGGCTGCGTGGGGGCTGTCTGCCGGTCAGTTATGCTCGAATTGGGAGCGACGGCCGATCGACTGGCTTCCTCGCCCACGTGCACACGCATGAGGTGTATGAGGGTGCGTGAAGCCATCGTTGGGGAGGACAGAGGGAAACATTGGGGATACATGGGAATGAGAGCACTGAAACAACTCCATCGTTCACAACACCGAATCAAATTTGACCAACAAGAACGAAAGAACGAGCCACAGGCTTCAGGTAGATGCATGCACGGACGGCGAAGTTCGTCTGTTCTCATAGACCAGGCGGCTAACTGATCCTCCATGCATAACAGGCAGGACACACAGCGAAATACGAGCCCATTTGTCTGTCTGCCTCTCTGTCGGAGACCACTCAAACGTTCTCAAGCACGATTCGCGATATGTCGCTCTTGTCACCCTGTTGGCACATCATGACGATGCTGGCGGCCACGTCGTCGGCTGTCAGAAATTTCGATATGTCCTTGGCGCCCGGCTCCCAGCCACCCCTTGCCCTATCCTCCCACCAAGGAGTCGCCACACCTACCCGCACAAACATATGTGCAGATTAGTCCTCCCCCTCCCCCTCACCCTCCCTTGTTTGTGTGTACCTGCTGGGTTGACTGTACCGATTTTGACGCCACTCCCCTTCAATTCGCACCTGGCGCTCGCGACCAGCCCCTCCACGGCATACTTGCTTGCACAATAAATGGCGCCCGTCGGCCCAGCCCGGATGCCCTTGACTGATGATGTAACGACAATCTGTCCGTGACCTTGCCGCCTCATGACTGGCATCAGCCGCACCAGAAAGAGATACACGCCCCTCACGTTAGTCCGCAGCACCTCGTCCAGCTCGGCCACAGTCGTGTCGACAAGAGCACCCGTCCCTCGCCCAATTCCCGCGTTGAGGATGGCCGCATGGATAGTCTGCGAGTGCGACAGGCATTCCCGCATGAGCCGCTCGCAGTCGGCCTCGGCGGCAACGTCGCCGGATGACTCGTGTACGTGGAAGGGAGGCCGAGAGTCGCCGTGCGGCTCCTCCTGATGGATGGCGCGGCACGCATCAGCCACTCTCTTCAGGTTTGCCTCATTCCGGCCAGTCAGGAAGAGGCTATATCCCTCTCTCGCCAGCAGCTTCGCCGTGGCCTCCCCGATGCCGCTGCTCGCACCTGCATGCATGAAAACACACACACTCAGTGACACACAGTGAGATCTCAGGTGGACCCTTGCTGTGTAATGCAACGCAGGCGGCACCGCACCTGTGATGAGCGCATACTTCATCGCTTTTCTTTCCTGACACGAAGCAGAGAGAGCTCACACACATGCGTGGGAGAGCGAGGGTCAGACTTCCCTGTCACTCCTTCGCGGCTCGCGTGTTTGGTGAGTGTTCTCCCCCATGAAAAGAGGCACCCAACATGCAGCACAGATACGCAGCATGCAGCACTCGCGCCATCCCCCTGCCGCCTTTCTCCTGCCGCGGTCGGTGGATCTCCATGGCTGCTCTGGTATGCCTTGCTGCCCTCGTGGTGGATCTCTGGATGCGTTGCGCCGCCAAGACGACCTCATTCATGCATCTGATGCCATCGGATGGGAGAGCGAGAACGCCATCAGTGTTGCGAGCAGCGCAGAGGGCCAGGCGACTTCCAGCTGCCCTCGTGAGCCGAGAAGGCGCGCAGGCGGACGACAGAGGTGCGTGGCGTGGCGACAAGCAGACAGGCAGGGAGGGAGGCAGGCAGGCAGTCAGGGACAGTCAGGGACAGTCAGGGACAGGCAGGCAGGCACAGGCAGGCAGCCATGCATGCGTGTGCGTGTGACTGCCTGCCTCTGTGTGTTTTTGCTGCATGATGCAGGTGGATTCCCATTGACAATCACAGCTGACGACCTCATCCCTGTCAACCAGCTCATCGACCCATCGGCACTGCGTGAGACAAACCGACTCGTGGTGCTCAGCGGAGACGGACAACGACGAGAGCCTGCCAAGTACATCGGCCAAAATGTAATCGGCGTTACGGCGACCCCTGCTAGCATCACTGCCCTCCTCAAGGCGAGGGACAGCGGCCCTTTCAGGGTTGGGCCCACGGTCGTCACACGCTTCTCACGCGGAGGAAAGACACGAATGCTCAAGGAAATCGCCAAGCAGCTGCGAGCGGCGAAGATTCCGGTGCTGCCGATCACCTTCAACGACGAAACGTCACTTGACCCAAAAGAGAGCAGTAGCAGGACACTCATCGAGTCGATTCTCCTGCGGATCGGGTGGTCGGCGGCCAAGAACGAGACAATTGAGGCAGTGGGGAAAGAGCTCGGCAAGGAGGTTGTCAACTTCGGTGTGTGGGTCGGGGCCGTCAGCGTCACCGAGGAAGTCATCCTGCAGTGGCTTGGCGACAGGCCCTGTGTTCTGATGATCGATGAGTTGAATCAGCTGCTGAAGAAGAAGACCCCGTATGTCGAAGGATCGCCCGAGGCGATAGTCGCAGCATATCTCAAGACCAACTGGCTCGGTCAGCCGGATCGCTTTCTGGTCTTCTCCAGCCATGTGCTGACGACCTCGACGAATCTGCAGGGGTTCTGGGTCGCGGGCTTGGGCGATCGCCCCATGCAACAGCTGCGAATGCCGCTGATCGAGAACGTCGCCGAGGCGAGAGAGGTCATCAGCGATGCTGCCGACGAAGGCCAGATGTGCTGGGTTGGACGGGCTCCTGGCTTGCTCATGGACCTCTATCATCGAGACCCTCGCAACGCTGATCCGGCCAATGTCCTGCGGAAGGCCAAGATGATGCCTTCCGGTGCCGATGCGCCATCCGCCGTTGGTGTCATCAAGATGGCTCTCGACGGCAACACCATGTGGGCTCAGACTATTCCCGACTGGCAGAGGTGGATGGACATCTATGGAGACAACTGTGTTTGGCCACCTTGCTATTTGGGCGCTGCCTGCACCAAGGTGGCCAACAGCCCGGCGGTCGAGGAAAAGTTTGGCGGGGCCTTCTGCAGCGGGTTGAGGGCCATCGAGAATTTCCTGGACAACCTGCACACACAGCCGCGAGAGTCTGGCAAGCGATGGGAGGGCGTTGCGGCGGCAGGGGTCCTCCTGCGGTTGCTCGAGAGCCACATCAGCTACACCACTCAAGGCAAATATCCGATCGGCTTGACACCAGAAGCACAAGCGCTCCTGCCCCCTGATGTTGTGAGGGGATGCAGCTTTGGGGACTATGTGCTGGCCGTGTCGCACCCGGATCGCGAGATCAGGACGCTTCGGCAGCTCATTGACTACTTCAACGACAGCAACAGCCCCATCCGCAGGGTGGACAAAGGTGTCGCGGCATTCTTCGTGTTGCCCACCCATCTGCAGTTTGAAGGCCACGACTTCTACATCTTCATCACTGTCGACGGGCAGCTGACTGAGGTCCGGGGATACCAATGCAAGCAAGGATTCGCGAAGAAGCCAACCCCAGCCAGTCTCGAGAAGATTGCCCGTGCATTTCGCGACGCCTTCGGTCCTGGCGGGGGCAAACCGGGCGGTGGGAAGGAGCCAGCCCTCGACGGCCTGCGCACGACTCCATTGTGCAGGACAGTGTGGTTTACGGGGGATTCAGGCGGAGGCGAGGACGAGCGGAATCGCAAAGACGAATACGACCTGACGGACAGTGAGGGTGTCCCGGTACGTTGGCCTTCACAGGCCACAATGAGCTGCCTGGTAGGGTTCTCGCTGGCATTGACCTGTCCCTTTGAGTGGTTGGCGTAGAGCGTGCAGGATGGAAGAGTTTTAGTTAGACATTTCGCTCTTTTTCGCCTTGCTGGACTATTGCTGGACTATTGCTGGGGCAGCTATCGTTTTCTTGCTACGAGCTTTCGGAGGACTTGATTGATGCCAGTGAATAAATCGAATCACCTTGAGACAAACACAGACAAGCGGGCCGCTTGACAAAGTGACACAAACGCTGACCACGACAGCAGTCAACAAATAAAGGCTCAACACAGCGTACATCCATGCACATACGTGGCCGCACACGTGAGGGACAGACAAGGAGTCCCGCCCGCCACACCTCCTCCATGCACTACCAACGCCTCCTACCCGCCACAGCAGGCGTCCCTTCCACACAGACAGCACTAACAGGCCGCCGGGCCTCCATCAAGCGCTCAGATCACAGACACGCCACACGCACACACGGCAACCAGCCACCCAACGCAGCAGCAGCAGCAGCAGCAGCAGCAGCTTAGCCAACAGAGGGGGAGGGAATGGGGGAGGGGGCGGCGATGAGGGCAGCGAGCTGACATATGGCCACCGTCACGACCCAGGTCACGAACACAGGAAAGAGGTTGTATACAAATAGGCACCCTTGAGCACCATCGCATACACGACCGCAGCCACGCCGGCGCCAACAGCCACAGCCACCTGGCCGCCCCCGAGCTTGTCCATGGCCCCCTCGAAGACACGCTGCCGAACCAGCACGTAAAAGCATATCATACAAACGGAGAAGGGGTAGAAGGATGCTGGCGGGGGCGGCACCGAGAAAGATGTGAAACCCGAGACCCATCAGCATGCCGATTTCTCGAGAGAGCGCTCGAACCAGAAGCACGCCGAGATGGCCGTCTCGCCAACAAGAGCGCCCCAATCTGCGTGGCGCAGCAAGAACACATGCAGTCTCTTCATCTGTTCCTGACTGGTCGCGGCCAGTCAGGAAGAGGCTATATCCCTCTCTCGCCAGCAGCTTCGCCGTGGCCTCCCCGATGCCGCTGCTCGCACCTGCATGCATGAAAACACACACACTCAGTGACACGCAGTGAGATCTCAGGTGGACCCTTGCTGTGTAATGCAACGCAGGCGGCACCGCACCTGTGATGAGCGCATACTTCATCGCTTTTCTTTCCTGACACGAAGCAGAGAGAGCTCACACACATGCGTGGGAGAGCGAGGGTCAGACCTGCAAGGCAATCTTCTCATGACTCAGATCTGCGTCAGTTCAAGATGATGCGACAGCTCCGGATCTGTCCCAACATGAAAACACGCACCCAAACATGCAACACAGACAGCAGCGGGGCAGCTGCGTCGGGGCTTCAGGGGCCGAACTGCGAGCTAACGTAAAAGGGTTAAACCTTTACCCTAGGCGCACAATACCGAGCGCATCAGACGTCTGATCTCCGACTTACTTACGGCGTCAGTGGCTTTCCTCTGCTCGTCCAACAGCATCATGCGAGAAGCATCAGCAGCAGAGGGCAGTTTGGAGCAGAGGACGGCACGAATAGAGCGCCACGTTCAGGAACTCAGGCAGCAGTGCCAGCAGCTGCAGCATGACGTCGTGCAGGCGAGGGAAGACTCATTCAACGTCCTCACCGATGCGCGCAGACCCGCCCCAGCCCTTATTCCATCCAATGGCGGCCGAGTGGACTTCGAAAAGTACCTGCGGACACTGCTGGAGAGCAGCCAGAGGCAAACAGGACAGCTTCAGACATCGCAGCCGTCATCGGGAGTGGGAGTTCTGAGTGGCGCAGCGACCAACCCTTATGAGCCCCTTCCGCCCAGCACACACGCTGCCCACGCGGCTTCCGCTTCCGTGGCTGTGACTGGGTCTATCCGCGTGGCGCCATGTCCCCCTTCCCAGCGCATTGTCCGTGATGCGTATACCCAGACCCCTCCCCTCTCACCTCGCCCTGCCCCTCGACCACATGCGCCGGCTGCGCATGCTCGTCCGTCCTCCTCTCCCCAGAGCGACACCGAGGCCGTCTCCTCATCGCAGGTCGGTCGGGAGAGGCCGTCCATGCCCCTGCTGCCCCCCAAGCGCACCTCCCCCCCTCGGCCGGCCTCTCCGCCCGCCCCCGCATCCAAGAAGAAGGGCGGTGGCGGCATGTATGCCGCCCAGTACGGGCTCAAGGACCACGTGAGTACCGGTGCAGCGTTTGGGAGGAGCCAGGGGGCGGAGGCGCTGCGTGTCATGGGGAGAAACGTGTCACCGGGGAGGCCTCCTGCGAGCACCGCAGGGGCGCTCAGACCCGCTGCTGTTGAGGTGCCGTCGACCGTTGCTTCCATCCCATGTCAGCCGGCGGAAGTTAAACGAGACCAAGGGGCGAGTACAGAGGGGCAGCAGGGAGGGCCGGGCGTGTTGGTGCCAGAGATAATAGTGGCTGCCCCAGCCGCCGTTATCGACCAGGTAGAGCAACACCCCCACCGCGAGCAAGAAGCGCAAGATCCCCGCGTGACGGCTCAGCCAATCGACGCGTCTGCTGAGCCAATCCCTGAAATCGTCCACGCGCCGATTGCTGCTGATGCGACCGTCGAGAGACCGTCAGCCGATGCTGGGGCACAGCAGGGCGGCGCCGGCAAGCAGCCAGTGGTAGATGAGGGGACGCGGGGAGGCGTCGACACGGCCGATGTTGGTGCTAGTGTTAGTGTTAGTGTTGGTGGCGATGGTAGCGAGCTGGTGGATCTTGGAGGTTTGGGCACCCGTCATCTGGCGTCGGGTGGACTGGAGAAGGAGAGGGCCATCGGACCTCTGCACTTGGAGAGAATGAAACAGGTGGGGAGTGACACAGACGTCCGCACATTAGTGCTTTGTCTCGCCTTTGTGTATGCCTGCCTGCCTGGCTGCCTCCCTGCATGCCTGCATGCTATGTCAGGTGTTCCATCGCATTGACTTCAACGGGGAGGATTCGGTGCTGCCGTATGTCTTCACGTCAGCACTGCGCGCCGGTGAGGGACGGAAGAACGATGCCGAATAGATGGATGGACGTTGACGCACCCCACCTTCTGTGTGTCCTTTTCAGACCCTGACATGGCGCAGTGGGGCTCCCTAGACGTGATATCGGAGCACCGCGATCACAAGACCACTTTCGAACAGGTACGGAAGGCATCCATAATGCTATCGTGCGTCGGTATGCACACCTGATCCGTTCCCTGTTCCCATCAGGCACTGCGGTATGTCGATGCCCTCAATCTGCCTCGTCTGTCATGGGCATCGTTCACAGCCAACCTCACCCAGGCAGCCGTCGACTCACCTCTACCAGCCACGTCGCAGGCCATGCATCCGCCAGCTGGCGATTCCCGCGAACCCCCGCCCCATTTCGGCGTCGAGGACGGCACCCATGGAGAGGAGAAGGCGACCCCTGTGAATGATGGGGCGGCGCTGCCCCCCCTGCCATTCGACAGTGACAAGAACCCACAACTCGCCATCCGATGGATGGAGCAGAACCTAGGTGAGCCGCGGAGGGAGGGAAGCGCGAGGAACAAGACACGCAGGCGGGAGAATGTCCTCTATACTTTGGGTGCAGGCGTGGATGGGTCGACGCTGCACCGTCTGTTCGACGTGTTCAAGCACCTGAGGGTGCCCCCCGAGTCGTCGTGCATCAAGACGGAGCGGTTTTTGCGCAGCCTGGACCTCAACACCAAGCTGCGGGCGCAGCTGTTCCTCAAGCCCATCTTCATGCCGGGTCGTGACCTGGGTCCCCAGCCAGAGGCGAGGGGGCAGCGGGGGCTGTGGCCGGACAGGGAAGGCCCCGTGTGGGCGGAACTCATACCCGCCATCAACCGCATGGACAAACAGGTCCGTCAAGAGCGCGCAAAAGAGAAGAAAATGGAACGAAAAACGTGTCTGCATGTTGGTTTTCCTGCCGTCCATCAGGACCTGTATTGGTCAGACATCATCCACATCGTGCGGACCAAGAAGGCCGACCCCCGCCCAGATGTCCACCGCCCCTTGCCCCAATCACCGCCCCCACCCCCACCAGCACCGGAAGAGCAGGCGGCGTCGCCCTTGTCTTTCGTGCAGGAGATCGCCTCAAAGATCGAGGGCGCGTTTGACATGGTGGCCCAATCGGTGCCCCCGCCCCCAGAGCTGCCCACTCGCAATGCCATCACCGACGTCCCCGCTCGGGTATCCGACAGAGGGCAGCCGCAGACACGGCCATCGGCTGCCGGCCGTCCGCTTTCCGCCGACGTGTCGCCATCCAAGACACTGGAGTTCACCGTGGAGCTCGGTACAGACTTCCAGTCGTTCATGAGCGGCCACGACATGAACGAGTGGCGTCTTCGGCTCCACCTGGCGGACTTTCTCGGCGTCTCGCCGACTCTCGTCCACTGCCAGGGGGTCACTGCGGGCGCCGGAGAGGTCTTCGCCGCGGCGGCGTCGCCATCGACCCTCATGACCTTCACCGTCCACCCAGAAGCGCACCTGGACCGGCACACGCTCACAGGGCGGCTGCAGGGCCAGGAGAAGGCAATTGAGCGGGAGATCGAGCACCCTATTCTGCACATCTCGATGCCCGTGGAGGCCCCGGCGTCGCGGCCGCCGTCTGTGGTGGTGGGGGAGCCCGAGAGGGGGCCGAGGGGCGAGGTGGGGTCGATCCTGACGCAGCGGGGTAGAGGGGTCCCCCCGACAGCATGGGATGAGAGAGAGGAGGAGGAATACAGGAGGTGACCATGACATGACATGGCATGCACAAACAGCCGGGACTATCCCCTTCTCATCAAACTGTGTGAGTTTTTGCTTTCAGGTGGCGGGCTGCCCGTCGGGAGAAGCAGCGGCAGGAGGGCGGGGCCGTCCGTGTGGGATCGGCCCGCATGTCGCCACGTCCGAAAGGGAGCGCAAGAGACGGCCACAACGCCCACCGCCCCTCGTCGGTGCGTGAGAGGAGCGTCACAGGCGGTTCGCAGAGGCAGCGTGTGACGGTGCCACAGCCGTTCACTTTTGAGGTCCGTGAGGCGGCTAACAAGAGGCGGCAGCAGATACTGATGAAGCGCAGAGAGGTGGGAATGAGGGCGGGGAGGCAGGTGGACGGTGTATGTGTATTTGTATACGTGTGAATGAATGACTACAGTTGGAGGAAGAGCGTCGTCAGCGCGCCGAGGACGAAGCCCTCAAACACCAGCGGCCATTCCACGCAAACCCCGTGCCGCCGAGCGTACACGTACCCAGATACGAAGCCATCCCAGTGAGCACCTCCCTCCACGAACAGACATGCCTTCAGTCATCCAGATCCGTCTGTCTCTCCATGTCTCACCTGCAGGCTACCGAGGGGCGGCGTCACGTGCGTGGCGAGGGGCGCGTGGTGCCCCCGAGCAGTGACATGACCACCTTCCCTGAGAGAGAGGAAGAGAGGTACCGCAGCGGCGGCAGGAGCAGGGACAGGCGGGCTGTGCAGTCCCCCTCCACGCCGCCCTTGCCGGCGCACCGCTTCCGGGCCAACCCGGTGCCCCTCGTCGTCACCACGCCGCTCTACCAGCGAATGAATGACCAGAAAGGTACAAACATACACACTCGAGACCGATCGCAGCTCGCGACTGGGACTCTCTCTCCCCTTTTGTGTGTGTTGGTTGCACTGCAGAGCGTGCGCGTCGCGAGCGTGTGTCGAAGCGGCGGGAGGAGGTCATGCGAACTTCCAGAATGCCGCCCAGGATGGAGCAGCGATACCGGGAAGAAATGTATGTGCGGATGCATGAGCATATGAGCACAGCACAACGTACGTATGCGTACCGCTCCTTTTTCCCCTCCATATGTCAGGGCAAAGCGGGGCCTGACATCCCCTGAGCAGCCGCCCCCGCCCCCAAGCACCCATGCACCCCCCGTCGTCCCTCACACGCCCCCCCGCCCCCACCGCCCAGCACGCGCCGCCCATATGGACGTGCCCATCTCTCTCTCCCCATCGCCCGTCCGCTCTCCCGTCATCGAGCAGACGCGGCCATACACCACACATGGGCAGCCACGACCCTCATCCCCGCCACCAGCGGCAGCAGGAGCAGCAATACGAGATGCGGACGACAGGGCAATGGCGATGTTGCTGGCGGATGGCGGCGACCGTGGCAGTGGCGTGGAAGTGGGATTGGGAGCGGGAGGGCTGCCCGCCCACACCCAGTCGCTCACGCTTTTGCCGGGACGCGACGATGCACTCGGTCAGTGAGTGAGGGAGCGATTGATGATTGTACCAACGGCCTGCCTGCACCCTGCATACCTATGTGTGGGTCTCTCTCTCTTGTATCACTTCCTCCCTCCCTACCATGTCAGGTGTGTCGTCAGCGCCTCCCCGCAGCGCCACCCCCCCTCCCTCCTTCGACCGCCAAATGCACACGCCAACCCACACGCGTCAGTGGTATCAATACTCGACCACCGAGGTTCCCGACTTCCCCGCACTCCACCAGCGCTTCCAAGACGCGCTGGACCGGCGGGCACAGAGGCACCCGCCCACGCACCCACTGCCATTCGTTTTCCAGCACGACTTAGAGCCAATGCGGCAGCAGCAGCAGCAGCCACGCAGAGAGGGTGGTCGTGGGGCTGCGTTGGTGCCTTCGTCGGTGCGTCAGGGGACTGCGGAGAGGGAGCCGTCACGCTCGCCGGAGAAGACGCGACACGCGAGGCTGCCAGATGCCAGCAGCAGGTGGGTGGGTGGGTGAGTGAGAGTGAGTATGCGGCGTGCGTGTTCCCACATCAATGTATGTGTCTGGATGGTCTGTCTGTCTGTCTGTCACCAGGACCACATTGAAGCTGCAGGCCGCCCAGCAACGGGTGCAGGCATCACTGAGGCAGCGACAGAGCGAAGAGGAGGGGCGCAAGCAGGAGCTGGTCAGCCATCCGACCGACCGACCGACACGCACTCACTGCATGAATGCATGTATGTATCTATGCATGTCGTCTGTCTTCCCTCTATGTGTGACGGACGGCTTGCTGCAGGCGATGCGTCAGCTTGCGACTCGCCGGGGCTCTCCCCAGCTGCGCAATCGGCTGCACCAGGCGCTCAGGGAGACCTTCGGACCGATGGACCACACCAGAGACCAACACCTGTACGCTCACAGTCGTCTCCCTCACACCCACCCGACCGGCTGTGTGTTCTGTTACCATTATGATGCCTTGCTTCGTTCATGCAGGTACGACGAGCGTTACCACAAGAGTCTCGATGAGGTGCGCTCGCGTGGCGAGGAGTGGAAGCAGCGGCTCAGGGACATTAAGCAGAGGGTCGCCAACAGACCTCTGCTCATGACCAGGCAAGGCAACACCCACATGACATGCACACAGACACACACCCACCCCTATGCTTTCATCCATCGATCGCTATGGTGGAGTGGGGGCAGATCTGCTCGTGTCATGTGAGGCGCATGTATGTGGGTGTGCGCAGGACCCAGTTGGAGGCGTCCAAGCGGCGGTCTCGTGCGCGTGCGTTGCTCAAGGTGCGGGACACCCTCAAGAACACCGGCCTCTCCGACAAGGAAATCGAGCGGTCCACACCCAATTATCCCATCTCACTCACAGCACAGAGACGACGTGCGTTTCTCCGATTGTTGTATGCATGTGGTTTGGTTCCTGCAGGCATTTCAACGAGGAGGAGGAGTACCTCATGAGCGCCGAAGAGGCTGCGAGTAGCAAATACCCCACCCCGGCTCTCAATCAGATGCCACCGTCTTCGCCCCCTCCCATGCTCACACAACAGGACGATCAGTTGCAGCCCGAGGACCACCACGCCCACGCCCCAGTAGCAACAGCAGCAGCAGTGGCGGGAGGCGATGAGCGTGCAGCGGCAGGGGATGCCTTGGCTGGCGACTATGAGGTTCGGGTGGAGGGGCAGCTGTCGACCGAGTACCATGACGATTTCGAGCCGCCTGACGAGCAGCAGCATGACGTCGGACAGCCGGCTGTGACGATGGGAGAGTGGCTTAGAGAAGGTGTGGCGGAGCAGCAGGGTGATGATGCCGTCTTGGGGTCGCTGCTGACTCCATAGACAGACAGACAGACAGACAAAACACATGGAGTTGTGTGGGTGTGAGCGACAGGCATGGGCGAGGAAGTGAGTGCGGCGGGTGGGTCGGTAGGTGGGTGTCGGTGATTCCGATCCCCTGTCTGGCGAGACATCAGTCATGTTAGTTCGTTAATGTACGTGTGGATAGCGATAGATGGGCTGGACTGCTGTCGTGGGTGTGTGTGGCTGCATGCATGTACGCTGGCCTGCCTGCTTGCATGTCACATGGCACGACGAGCTTTTCACCTCACTCACGTTAAGAAGAGCTCGATTAAGGACACTGTTCCGATTTCTCTCCAGGTGATCTGATCCACCATGATGACCATGCCCAGGCACACGGTGTGCCTGCTTCCGTGCACACTCATGAATCTGCCTCGCCCGCTGTCCATCATCTCTCAGGAAACCACTGGTCACGAAGAGCGATGGGTACAGTCCTGGCTCTTCCCAGGGGCATGGGTTTGTTTCGCCCTGTGTGCATACACTCGTCTGTGGTCCGTGTGTCTGGGTGTGCTCGGTCGGGGCTGTGGACTGTTGTGGGCGTCTTTTTCTGGCCGTCGGCCCACCGTATCGTTTTACGTCGCCCGACTGGTGGGCGCGGCGATGCCTCACATCCCTCCGGGGTTACAGACACGAGTCTCGTTAAACACACTAACCAACCAACTAACATCATGTCCATGGCGGCTTTGTGGCACCCTTGTCATGATATCCAGGTACGTGTATCGGACACGGACATGCTGGTGCTGCATTTCACCTCTCTCATGTGCTGTGTACAGTGATGGTGTCGTGATGTGATGCCGCCTGTCCCTCCCGCCGGCCGTTTTGGCCTTGGCACTTGGTACGGTTGCACCCACTGCACCCACACATCGCCCATTGGCATGTGGATCTGTGTGTCAGTGGCTTGTGCTGCCCATGTGCTGCCCACGGGTGACGGCTGGTCGGTGTGCGGTGTGTGTGACAGTTCGTCTACCTGAGGGACTCCGTCACTGATATTGGGTAGGTTGGCACCTACCGACCATCACTCTTTCGGTGCATGCATGGATCTCTTCCTTTTGCTGCTGTGTGTATCCATCCTTTTCAGTGTGTGCTCGTTGGTCCGTGTGGTTGTCGTTGGCTTTTCGCATCCACCTCCCACACGCTCTGGGTACGTTCTTCGGACCCACACACACACTACATACACACACTCGCTACATGCGGACCTCTGTGGATGTGGTGCTGCGTGTGTGTATGGCGTGTGGACTCAGGTGTGTTTGTTTGTCTGTCTGTTCGTTTGTGTGGCTCGGGTTCGTTGCGTTTGGTTGGGTTGATTACATCAACGTTGAGCATCCGGTGATTGATCCTCATTCACAGCCGCATCTCGGCACTCCCACTTACCACTCATGGACCTCAGCATCTACTTACGATATGGCGACCACGACAAAAGTGTCGGCCTGACTCATGTCTGACCACTTTTGTCAGGCCGCCCAGGACTCTCAGTCCGGTGGCCCTTTCGACTCAGCTTCTCGTGGGACGTCTGAGGCGCTAGGCGCACTCGAACTAGATCAACCCACCGGTGCGGCTGCAGAATCATCTCGACTGACAGCTGTGGAGAACCAACAGCTTCAGTCCCTGTTGGGTAAGCAGTCTACGCATCAGCAGCGGGACCCACTAGCCTCCTCACCCACCGGTGAGGATGGCGTGGCCACGGAGCTGGCCGGCAGCTCATGCGCCCACCCAGTGCCGGCTATCCAACCATTGTCACACCTTCCCTCGTCCACTTCCCCTCCCCCGCCCCATCCCCCTACGCTCACTCCCTCCTTTCCCCCAGGCGTCACTCTGTTGGGGCGCGTATGCCTGCTGGTTGGGCTGCAGCTACTATTGGTATGCTGCCTGGTGGGAGTGATGGTGTTCTGCCCTGGGTGGAGCTGGGGAAGGTGTCAGGATGATAGGTCCTGGTGGGGGCTGGACGTGAATCAGTGGAAGGGGCGTTGTGTGGGGGAGATCCGTCCGAGAGCTGGTCTCGACTCGGCTCCCCTGCCCTCTCTCTCTAGTCCACCCACCCCATCACTGGCAGCCACCAGTCCGTCGCTCGTCATCCCCTCTCCTCGTGTTCTGGGAGGCCTGGCTGGAGCGACCAGTGGTATCGTGTCTGGTGGAGAATCGTTGCTCGCCGCGGACCTGACGGCTGGAGCGGCGTCTCGGGGTTTATCTGGAGCGGCGCAAGCTGGCGGAGTAGGAGTGGGGGCGGTTGTTGTCAACCCATCGAGTGGTGACGGCCCCTCTCTGCCACCTGCGTCGTCTGCGCCTCCTCCATCTGCCCCTAGCGGTGTGAACGGTTCGTCGCAGCCGCGTGGGTCCTTTCGCGAATCCCTGGTCGCTCGTGTGTTGCCTGGGGATGTCGTGGTTCCGGCTTCGGACCGGGATATTGCAGGTTCGGGTCCTGTCGTGGTTTCGTCGTCAGCTCGTGATTCCGCATCATCGTTGGCTGAGAACGTGTCTTCGTCTGAGGGTCTCGTGTTGAGTACTGGCGTCTCGGCCTCGACTGCTGGTCTCGTTTTGGAGCCTTCTCTCGACTTCTCGTCCGGTGAGGGTCCGTCTGAAGGTACTGCTTTGCCATCGTTGCCCATCGCTGATAGCGGCAACGAGGAAGGCAGCATTGTTGGCCCCAGTGACCTGCCTGATCCTGAGTCGCTCGACGTCGACGGCTTTTGCGGCTGGGCTGCCGTTGAGAGCCAGCCTGCTGTGTCGTCTTCGTTGGGTCAGGGGGGCGGTCTGGGAGTGTCTGGTGTCGGACGGGCGGCTGATCGTCGCTCTCCGCCCGCCCGTCAGTCTGTTGTCGCTGGTGCGGGCCACTCTGCTACTGGTGGCCATGGTGGGGGCGTATTTGCTGTCCCTGCTGTTGAGTTGGGTGTTTTGGTGGTCCGAGTTATCCGAGTGGATCTTCTACGGATCGGCGGAGTAGCGGTGCGGCTGCGGCAGCTGTGGGTGACGAGGCTGGCGGTGCACGTCCCATTCGCACTGTCGCCAACCTGCTCTATGGCGTCTCCTCTACGGCTGACGAGAGCCTCGCGTCTACTGCAGCGACGGCTGGTTCTTTTGAGTCTGGTGCGGCTGACGGGGATGGCCCTGTCGCCACCAGATCACCCCACCCACCCGCCCGCCCGCTTCGGGAGCACTTTGTCGCTCACGAGTTGCGTTTTCGTTCGGTCATCAACGATTCCGTCCCCTTCAATCCAAGTCCCCTCTCCCGGTTCCCCGGCCTCCCGTCTGTTCGTCTGCCTCCGCCACTGGTGCGTGATAGGCATGGTCGCGGTGCTGGTGGGGGCAATGGTGGGGGTGGTGTTGAGAGTGGTTTGGGTGCCGCTGACGTTAAGGGGCATGATGGGAAGGTTGAGAGTGCCCGGGTCAACGCTCAGGCCACTGCAGGAAATGCCGCTGCCGGTTTCGGTGCTGGTGGCCTCTCGGCCCGTGTTGATGCGGGTGTTGGAGCTCTTGACCAACTCGACACTCAGGCTACTGGAGAAGGTGCCGCTGCCCGTCATGGTGCTGGTGGCCCTCCGGTGCGTGTTGAGGCGGCTGCCCAACTCAATGCGACTGCTGGAAGAGGAGATGCCGCCGCCCACCCTGGTGCTGGTGGGCCCTCGGCCCGTGTTGATGCGGGTGTAAGAGCTCTTGACCAACCTGCCCCTGATCTTTTCGTTCGTTCGTCTCGTCGACTTGACCGTCCAGCGGAAACTCAGTTGTCTGTTTTGGATCGTCAGTCTCTGGGTGTCGCTTCTGGGTCTCGTCCTCGTCCTGGGCCTCGTACTCGTTCTCATGGGAGTCAGCTTGTTGGTGGTGTTGGTGCTGGGGAGCAGTGTGTCCCCGTCCGTCTGTCTAAGAGAGATGCTGTCGACCAGCCGGCCTCGCCCGACCATCCTGGTCCTTGTGTCGACGTATCACGCCTGACTCAGCCGAATGGCGGCGGCCCCCCGCGTCCCTTTGGTGCTGGTGGTGTCGTTCATATGGGTCAAGGTGATGAGCATGTCGACTTCGAGGACGTCAATGAGGGTGGTGTTGCTGGGCTTCTCGATGGTGGCGGCCCTCTCGCCTTCGGTGGTTTTGCTGATGCTTCTCATGTGGACGAGCCGCACGGGAAGTTTTTCTGACTGCCTGTGTGCGCCGACTGGGCTGAATTGGTTGCTGGCTGTGTGACTCACTGGTTTGTGTCTCTGAGTGCGTGGGTATGGGGCTGGCTCGGAGTAAGTGGCAAGGGAAAGATCGATGCATTGCAGCCGGCTGTACGGCGGATGGCAAGTTTGGCGCGTTTGGCGCGGCTTTATGGCCGCATTCTTTCTTGTATACTCTCTCGCTCTTTTTCTCTCACCTTGTGTGACAGCAGGGTGTGACTTTCTGCTTTGCAGGGACGGAGGGCGGTCAAAGGGACCGCCGCCTTATCAGTGGCCCGTCTTTTTGTCTCCAGTGCCTGGCTATCTGTTCGTGTCGGCTTGCTCGTTTAGCCTTGCGTCGTTGGGCATGTGCAAGGAGGGCAGAGATAGCGCATCCGAGCTGGCATTCTCACATCCTAGTCTGGGTACTTCGTGCGTGCATACCCTCTCTCCCCGTAATCTCCCCGTGGTCTCTTCGTACATGGCTTGCTTGGCTGTCCCGTCTGTACCTCCAACTGCTTGCCGCTTGTTGCCTGCGTGTGCATACGTACGTTTGTATGTCGATTGTTGTTGCCTGTCTGTCTGTCTGTCAGTCTGGTACACAGTGCGTACAAGTAAGTATTCATGTTACGTACATGAGGAACGGTGAGGACAAGTCTGACCGTTACCCTCTTGCCTGCCTATCTGCCTACTGGTCTGCGGCCCAGTGGGGGCTTCCCCTGAGATCACTACTGTCAACGGACAATGTGCCTCTCTTCCCTGCTGCCATGACGGGTGAGAGTATTGTGATTGACCTGAGAGTGCAGCCCAGCCCATTTTGGGCAATTGTGGTTCGTATTAGTTAAAGGACGCCCTTTCTTCACAGGAGCAGAAGGATACTTGGGCTGGCACTTGAAGAAGCAGTGAAATCAGTGAGTGCGGGGTGGGTATCTGTGTTCGTGCGTCTGTGTTAAATGTGGCTTCCCTAGAGACATGAGTGTGCGACGTGCGCGCGGGTACGTAGGAGCGTTGCTGGTGTGCATGCGGTCATGGTGACAAGCAACGTATCGATTTCGCGGAGAGAATGCCCAGAAGAAGCATTCGGACAAACAAACAAACGATTCCAAACGAAACAATCTCGCTGCCTGCTGCTCGGTTTGATCGGAATGACCGATTTTGGTCGCTCATCGAAGGTGAGAGGGCAGCGGGACTTTGAACTAGAGGTGACAAATCACTTGGTGCAGTCAACCACACACGCACAGTCATTGTGTTTCTCAACCAAAAATAGATGAACCAGTCAGTACTCCTCTGCATAGGAACTGAGGAAGAACGAGTCTGATAACTCATCTATCACTCATCGTCGTCGACCTCTTCCTTGCCGAAGGTATTGTCAGGAATGAAAGAAAAGAGAAACACACGAGCGAAGCAACCAACGCACCCATCCTCCCCACCACAAGAGACAGACAGACAGACAGACAGAAGGGTCGGTGGCTGTGGCACGCAGATGGATCAGACCAGTACGCCACGCCACACGCGACTGTATCTACAGGCCTGGATGACTGACGCACAGACAAAGGCCCCCCCGCCATTCACTGCAGTACAGATGACACACCCGGCAGGCAGACAGACAGACAGACAGATAGACAGACAGTTGGGAATGCATGTGCACGGACAGTCAGTGAGCTGGCAAGTCAGGGAGGGAGGGAGTGGGCAGTGAGTGCAGGGGCGCGGGGACAAGTCGAAAATTCGGCAGAATGCACCGCCGGCAAAGACACAAACGCCTACCGCATTCATTGGAAAAGCACATCCGTCCGTCCGTCCGTGTATGTATGTGTACAATGAATGTATGACGCAGACGCACAAACACGAAAGAGAGATGGATGTAGAGATGCACATACATGCGTTCACCATGGCAAAGGAGCAGCCCAGACAGCACAACCGCCTGCCCAGTCATTAATTGAATCACATCGATGCATGCATCAAGCCACGCATACATACATCTTGTCTGCACAGCGATCGATCTACACACACGACAGTAAGTGTATGTACGTATATGTGTGTGTGTGTACACATACCGACGCGCATGTATCGAGCACTCGACAGACGACAAGCTGCATAAAGAAGCCATACACACAGAAAGAGAGAGTAAGTGGCCTGCGGGTATTCGAATGGACTAATTGCATGGGTACCTGTGATGCGATTGATCTCTCAATTGCAACTATCTTCGCCTCTTGCTCGATCGCCTCTTGGATGTGGCCTTGCGACTGAACTCTGCACAACGGGCAAGATACCCGGAGAGACAGACAGACAGAGAGAGACGATCTTTATGCGTCTGTATGTTTGTTTGTATGGGATTTGTGTCTTTCATTTCTGACCGTCGTCTTCCTCGGGCACCCACTCCTCATCGCCGTCGCCGCTCGCCTTGGCCCTCATCCTCTTGTTCTTGGTAGCAGCCTCGACCTCGACCTCGTCCTCGTCGATCGCCTTCTCGAGCGATGTGAGCGCCACGTGAGGGATGAAAGGAGAGAGGGAGTGAGTGACTGTGCGTGACCTCTGTATTTCGTGTGGATCTACGTACCTGCTGGTAGATGCTTGTCCCGGGCAGGAGCACCTGGTCGGCAGCAATGTTATCGAGGGCCTGCAGGGATGATCGCCAGCACAGCCGATATGCATCCTCGGCACCGCCGCCACCACCTCCCGCATGCGGGACCCTTCCTCCTCTTGATGTTTCCCTCTCCCCAATAGTCAGCAGCTTTTCCGCCACATCAGGAGGGCACGGCAGCTCACACAGCTCGCCCGTCGTGCCACTGCTGCTCACATCGTCTTCCGTGTCAAGGGTCTCCCCAATGTGGCGTGGATGGACTCTGCCGGATCTCTGTCCAGCAAGGACGCGCAGACTGATCTCAAGCTCGCAGTTGCAGACAATGAGCTCCGCAAATCTTGTGTGTTTTTGTGAAGTGGAGGTCGCCGAGAGGCAAGAAAACTCAGGCCCACATCTCGGCTGCGACCGGCAGCAGCTGAGCAAAGAGGCCCCACAAGCGCGGCCGAGCGACGAGGGAGGAGGTGCTGCAGAGGGCAAGAGTGGCCGGCGCCCGGAACCATTCGACGAAGAAGACGATGAGTGTCACGGAATCGTCGGAAAGCAGCCTGGCAAGCAGCCGAGCATTTGCACCAGCCACGGGAGCGGTGAAAATTGGCCGCCTGAATCGCCTGGATCGCCGACAGATGGGCATGATGTGGACGAGCGGGGCGAGTGGAGGACAGAGGCGAGGAAGCGTAAAGAGATGGTTGCTCATTTCCACGAGGGGGCAGGCAGCAAGTTGGCGGCCTACGAAGAGTTTCCCAGTACCCTTCGATACGAGACGCGAGTCAACGACAGCGGGGAGGTCGAAGAGAAGCTTGTCGGGATAGCGTTCACTCCCGAGCCTTTCATCAACACTGCACGGAGAGTCGCTCGTGTCCTTTTCTTTCAACTTGCAACTGCATTGGTCTTTGCAATCGCATGGGCGCTCTTCTGTCTGGGTAAGACAAAGCCAACTTCACATGCAAGGAAAGAAGATGTATCTGGACGGATGCCATCATGACTGTGCGTTTATGTAAGGTTGCTGGCCGATGTGTGAGTACAAGAGCTTCAGTCGCGGGGTGCCGTGGATAGTACTTGATTTCCTTCGTGTGCTGCTTATCTATGTTGAGTATACCGCCGCCGCACTCCTAATGGCCGAAGGGGATGGAAGACTAGCTTTGCGACGCCTTGTCTCGTGCGGGTGGATTTTTGTGCCTGGCGGACTCTTTTTGTTTTCAAGGGCGGTGGTGCACCACTTTTTCGGAGGATTCAGAGTCCTATACAGAACTTACGTGACGCCCCCCGCGGCGTTTGTCGTCACCTTCCCTTTGGCGTTCATCTTCTTTCGCTTCAGCGCCCACAGGAATAAGACCGTTATGCGGCACAGGAAGATGATCTATTCCTCCCAGCTGACGGTGATATTTTCTTCACAACTGTCACTCGCAATCGTCATGTAAGTAAATGCCGATATCAACATTCGATGTTGGCCTGCCTTTTGTCTTTCTCCGTCAGCCGAATATTTCTCCTCCCCCTGGCCACGGGAGACACGACCGATGGGGAGCGGACACGAGTTGCATTCGGTTTCCTACTGATCACGTGGCCATTCCTTGGACTAGGTACGTTTGTTATGAGATGATGCTGATGTGGCCGCGACTGCCTAGCCGTTCTTACCAATCAGTGACGGCCACCAATCGGGCTATTCGGGACGGATCAGCACTGCAGACAGCACCATGTCTCGCCTTTGGGGCTGTTGCGCATGCTTTGTTTCCTCGCATGTAAGCAGCGCCCGAGTGAGAGACGAATATACGTGATCCATTGTTCTACAGGCTTCAGTCAAAAATGGCATTGCTTTCGCCGCATCAAATCCTGACATCTGTCGCTCTCGGGTAAGGTCTGCCTGACATATTGGCCCCTGCCATTCGGTGCTCTGTCCAGGTGCTTCGACCTTTTTACAGACATCGCGATTCCATATTGTATGCAAGCATCGATATATTGCATTCCAAATCATGTCTCTTCACGATTCTTCTTGCGTGAGCAGGTGTTCTCATTGGTGGCGCGAGCAGCAGGCTATTCATACGACTGGTGGCCCGCTTCAAGCCGAACCAAAGGGAGACGCAAGATCAGCACGCCGATGCTGTCGACATTATTGCCGTCAGGGATGAGAGCAACAGCGATCGAAAGCCCGGCCCTCGACTGAGTCGTCTTTCCACGAGGGCGGCATCGTACCGCCGCTCGAAGAGTGCGGCATTCGATCGCCTCCGCTGCATGTTAAGCCGCTCGTCGCTTGCATCCCACCTGAATACGATACTTGACGCGCAGTCCAAATTCGTGACGTCTGGGTACCATCCCATGTTCCTTCGTCGACTCAGCGACGTGAGCACTTGAGAGCATATGGGGAAAACAACGACGGGAAGAGCCCTGCATTCCACCCATGTATGTCTCCTCTCCCTGTTGATTGAGTACAGCAAGTCTATTTGTACGGCCTGGCGGAGCTGACCGCACTGGTACGAACACAGGCAGGGAGGCAGGGAGGCAGGGAGGCAGGGAGGCAGGTAGGCAGGGAGGCGATGCATCCGTTCTGTCACCTTACTTACAGATCTTCTCCAATTTGTGCTCCATCATCTTCGAACAGGTGCTGTGTGTGGACGTGCAGTATGCACACGTGCCTGATATGTGTTTCGTCATGCAGATGTTGTCTCCATCTGGCGAGCGGTTGGCGGAGAGACTGGCCGGCCTGGGGGTCCTTGTGCTTATCGAGATGAGCCTCGAATTCCTACTCTTCTGCGTGAGCTACATAGCTCTTCATTAAGCCTCAAACACAAGGGCAATTCCATCCATTCACTATCTGCCTGGGTGTGGCTGGCTGTCTTGTCTTGGTGCGTTGGATGCAGTACATGGTTCGTGTGATCAATTTGCCATTGATCAGGAGCGAGAGGGAGCCGAAGGCCGTGAGGATGCGACTCATGGGCATGTTCTTCACGGGCAGCATCTGTGTCGTACACGGTGCCTCACACATGGTCATGTTCGTTTTGCAGTCGTTGGACAGAGAGGCATATGGCAGTGTGGAACTGCGCGACTACTGTCCGCACGACTCTTTCCTCTTGCGGAGACACATGGGGGCATAATTGATTGAAATCAGCCAGCCAGCCAGCGAGTGAGTGAGATATCCGTATGCCGTGCCGTGCTCGGCTAAGTCAAGAAGCGGCCGGCTGTCGCCAAGGTTTTCATGTCTCATGTAGGTAGGGCTGATTTTGGCGAGTGGTGCCCGAGGCCTCACGTACTAGGACTTAATTGGTTGTAATTGGCGAGGAAGCGGAGCTTCGGTGTCGAATCGCTCCATCTCACCAATCTCAGTTGTCTGCGTTCGTGCGATGAGTGAGACTGCTGCAGGCGTTGCACGTCAATGAGCGGTTCATCCACACACACACTGTCAAGTCAGTCGGCAAATAGAGGACATCCAAAAGTCGTGTCACTACCATCCATCCATCCATTGCACCCTGCCATGTGGTTCCTCAGTCACTCCCCATCAAAAGCGATGCACTTTGCCTGTCTATTTCACCCACGACAGGCAAAGTGGAAGGATGTCCTCTATTTGCCGACCGACTTGACAGTGTGTGTGTGGATGAACCGCTCATTGACGTGCATCGAAAAAAGGTAGTCGGTGGCCAAGCAGACAGGCAGACGGGATGATGTGGCCTCACTGCCATCCATCCATCCATCCATGCCTGCTTTGCATGCAGCTCACACCGACGTGCCCACTCAGTGACAATGTGCAGGCAGGCAGACAGGCTGGCAGGGAGGGAGGGAGGGAGGGGGTGGGGTGGGTGGTCTGTGCGGTTGGCTACTTGTGGGTCACAAATCCGCGGAACGTGCGATACGCAAGGTTGTCTAGGGCCACTGCGGACACGCAAGGTTGTTCATGTCCACCCACCCATGCCTTGTCTGCCCCTCCCTCCCTCTCTGCACATGCCTACACTGCAGACGGTTTTTTTTGCGTTTTAGAAGACCTTCTTGAACGGAAGGTCTCGTGGCAGCGTGTCCAGCGTGTGCAGCGTGATGATGTTGTCACGCAACGAACGATCCGCCACGCCAATGCGAAGCCCATACCTGACACGTAAGGCAACGCACACAAACACACAGACACACAGACACACAAACACACAGGCAGAAGGAAACGGGATCAGAGACCACCTTGATGCGTCTTGTCTTGTCTGTCTTGTTTGATGCTGTGTTGTGTCTCTCCCAGGTCTTCCAATGCAAATCCGTCATCGACTGTCCACTGACCATTTCAGTCAGCCACAAGGCAGATACCACGGAAAGAAAACCAACCAGGCATCAGACACCGCCACACTGGCATCCCTTCTGTCTGTTGGTTGGTTGGCCGTCTCCGGTAGTCAGTCGTCCTTGCAAAAGTAAAAGTACCTTTAGTCGTCCATCCTTAAACCTCTCACATCGGTCACTTGGCACCAGCCTGGTTGTTTCGGATCTTGGCCAGCTTGGTCAGGTCGAACTCGATGTAGAGGGGGAAGTGGTCCGAGGGATTTTCACCCTGCGACACACACATACACACATACAGACACAGAGACAGGGACAGAGAAAGAGAGAGAAGAGGGAGGGAGGAATTCGTTGCTTGCAATGAGCACTTGTTGGCTGCGTACTCACCCTCCCGATCCACTCGTCCTTTTTGATGGGATACCGCGGCGGCTCGATGAAGGGCAGGTGCGCGTCTTTGTAGGCCGCTCCGTGGTTGAGCGGCTGCACTTTCGTAATGGCATTCCAGAGGTTCTGGCTCACCTGAATGCCACAACCAACGAACACTTCAGGTAGTCATCAAAGCAGCCGGCCGTGCGGTTTACTTACGAGTATGTGGTCGAGGAGGGAACGCTTTCCACTCCACGTGTAGCTGCAGATGGATGCCAGACAATGAAGGAGGCGCATGTGCTCGCTGCCCGCAGCAAGCTGTGTTTGCGGCTTAGATGCGGTGAAGGTTGAGCAATTAGGTACCTAAATTTGCGCCACGTCTCCACTCCTCCGTATTTGGCGGACTTGCCGATTGCGTTGGTGAGCTGGTGGTTGGTCTTGAAGCGCTGGCTGTGGGCGCCGTACTTGATGATGGGAAACACCCATGAGGTAGCCCAAGGCTTTACACACACACACACACACACACACAGACACACACACACAGAGAGAGAGAGAGAGAGAGGCATTGGTATGCTGCGGCGAGTCTTTTCTTTCATGTCTCACCGATTCCTCCTCGTCACTAAGGCTGGTGGCCAGCTCGAGAAATGATTCATTTCCAGCAGCGAGCGGCCCAGGTAGCATGAACTCCTCCTCAGGTTCTTCTTTCTCATGCTCTCTGACATACAACACAACACAACACAGCACAGCACAGCAGAGTACGACATTGCCTCCCTTCGTAGTCAGTCCACTGACAGTGGTGACGCTCGGGCAGCCCTCCCAGCTTCAGCCTTTTTCGCAGCTTCCTTTGCCGTCTTCTTCTGTTTCTTCTGTTTCTTGGCCGCTGCTTAAACCGCTGCTTCAGCCGCTCTTTTCTCCTGCTTCTCCTGCTTCTCCTTCTCTTTCTGCAACTTTGCCTCTAGGTCTGCCTGCTCCTTTGCCTCAATCTTCGCGACCGCCTTGTCGTAGTCAATGGTCTCTTTGACCTTGGCCAGGTACTCCTGAGGCCACGCATCGCACGTGGCAAGAAAGGCAGACGGCGGATCGTCACATACAAAGAAGTGTTCGGTGTTAGTCGAAGCCTTCCATTGGCAGCTCGTACGGGTGCGTCGCGTTTTCCTTCTCCTGGTGTCGTGCATCACGCGTAGAGGGCTGCTGATCGTCGTATTCATTGAAGTCGCCCTGCAGAGGGTGACACACAGATGTGTTGAAGAGCAGACAAGGCATGGTGGCGCTGCTTCCATTTCGTGGGCAAGTGAGGTACCATGATGATGATCTCATGGTCTCCCGGGACAGATGTCGCTGGATGACAGACACAGAGACACAAGTATCCCGATGTCGACAGGTGTTGCATGTTGCTGCAGCTATGTGTGCTACTGACTCGATGAGCTGATCGAGCAGGACGGCTTCGACCTCTCGATACATACACGCGGACTGGCCTGCAAACGTAGACACACAGACACACATATCCAAAGGTCCGTTCGCCTTCCCTCTTGAGTTCAGCTGCTGTGTGTGCATACTTGTGGGGATGCTCTTAAGGTGGACGGTGAGTATGGTGAACGGGATGCCCTTGACGTTGGCGTCCATGCGGGCGACTTTGTTGAGTCCGATGCCTTCCGGCTCTTCTTTGTAGTTGAATTCCCTGCCGAATTCGACGCCGCTGAACTGGCAGGGACAATTGGCAGATCGATCCACCTTCGGTGCCCTCCGCCTCGACCAATCTCTGGCTAGTGGGCCTTGTCATGTCCCACCTTTTGGCACAGGGGGTTGACTGTCGCAAAGGTCAGCGGAGCGACACTCATGCATATGGCAAAGGGGCGCATGCGTGACTTATGTGTGTACGTGGTTGTGATGGGTTCGACTGGATTAATTCTGCTGAGAAAGCCCACTTGCTGGTAGACGTGGAAGTCGTTCCCGGTGATGTGATAGGGACCTTTAGTTAAAGTCATGCACGGCAATGCCGAACACATGCCCAGGACAATGCAGAAGGGACAAACACGTGCAGCATGGGTAGCCATACGTATACGCGTTTGAGCGATTGTTGCATTTGTATGGAGACACGGCCATGTGTACACCTGCATACCGAAGCCCTTGCGATCGAGGCCCGACAGATCCAACAAGTCTCTAAAGACGTGGCAGCCGTCGATCTGCATGACATACGCACAAACACATCCACACGAAACAGCGCGCGAAGCGCATTACATACGCAAGGCCTCACCTCTGACAGCGAGATGACATCCAGGCCGTCTCCGTGCTCCTTGGTGATGTTCGTGTTAAAGTAGCTGAGCCAGCTCGCCACGTCGTTGATCCGGTTCCACTGTCATTGCCGCAGTACAACAAAGCACTGTACTTGGCATTTGCAGCTGATTGATGCATGCTTACCTGATTGATGCATGTCACGCCCTGGTTTTCGGATGTGCCCTTGCTGACGTCCTTGGCGAACTTCTGCACTTGGGAGGCGTACTGTATCACTTCCACGCGTCCGGCTTTTGCGCATTCCCGCCGCGCGACTGTTGGTGCTTCGTCTTCGGTCTTTTCCCGTCAGCTGGGTGCTCGAATTCGGGTGTCTCGATGCAGTCAGCGATGTTTTGCCAGAAGACTGGGCACTGATATACCTCGTTTTTCAGCTGCTCGTCCTCAACCTGCCTGCTGGCGCGAAGGGACGCGGGCGAGAACATCCACTCGACATTCTGCGCCGGGAACACATGCTAGGGAACACATGCACAGTCAGGAGTGTCGCACATTCTGCACCACTCGAACCCAGTGCAAAATTCGGAGTTTGTCATCGGGTTTCTCGTATTCCGAGGGCCGCTCTTGTTGTTCTCGGGGCATTCCTGCTTGGGCGGTTTGGGCAGCTCCGGCCTCTCTTCGAGGGCGCAGGAGTGCTCAATTGTTTCGGCGGACGAAAGGCAGACCAGAAAGGCCGAGGCAGCCGCGAGAAGAAAAACAGGGGCGCTTGACATCATCATGGGTTCCGTCACTCCGTCATCGAGGTTGAGACGGGCCCCCAAACCCGGATCGCCGGTCCTTCAAGTTCCCCCCCGTCTCCGGACCGGCTTTGCATGCATTTCGCGAAGCGCGAAGCGTAGCCCATACAATATTAAAGCGGAGCGGCTCAGCGGAGTCCCGGCATCGTTCCCCAACTCTCGAACTTCTCCCCACACCCCTTTCCGGCTTGTGCGATGAATTCCTCACGGATTGTCGTCACCTTGCTTCTCATAGCGCTGGGATCTGTGACGGCCAACAAGGGTCTGCGAGGGCTCCAAGGGGGAGTGGTGTGTGGTGATGCGGCGGCCGAATGCGATTATGACGACAGTGGCGAATTGGTGTGCGAGGAATGCGACGACGGTCGGGTTCTTTTGCCATGCATCGATGAGTCCCATTGAGTCCCGTCATCCGTCACTCACTCATTCATTCATTCGGATGTGGTGCGTGTGTGTCCTGGTGTTCTGCAGGAAACAAACAAACTGGCGACGGATGCAGCCCTGAATGTACTTACGTATCTGCATTATCATATGTGTGAAGACATATACCTATCATCTACCTGCACGCAGGCACAATCGAGCCCAATCATCGTTGCTTCGTCCAGAGAGATCCGTCGCATTGCTGGAGCGTGTCGTGTCCTTGTGAGAGCGTCATGCATATCAAGACCGAACAAGAGGTCGCATTTGGGGAATTAGAGTCCTATCTCACACACACACACACACACACAGACAGACAGAGACACCATTCACCAAAGTATGTGTTTGGGATGTGTTTGTGTGCATGTATCCATGAAGCTGGAGCTCTATTACACCGGCTCGCCCGTTGACAACAAGACACGGACAGCCGCGGATCCCAGTGACTGCGCAGCACAATGCCTGGCCATCGAGGCGTGCAGAGTGTTTGCGTGGGCCGAGGAACCAGATGAGTTGGTGGAGCCGAAGTGCCATCTATTCAAGGACATGCAAATGTTAAAAGACTGGACGGGCTACACCTCAGGCACCAAGCTGTGCGCTCCAGGGCCATGTGGTACGTACACAGAGGTTTCTTGGTCAAGTAGATGTGTTTCTACGTATGCGTATGCGTGCATACTTTTGTGTGGTGTGGGCATGGTCTGTGTGTTTCTTCAGCCACCACCACCCCTCCGACCACCTCTACAAGCACGTCCACATCCACAGGTAAGTGCGTACGGATATCACACGTACGGACTGTCCCCTGTCTGTCTGTCTATCTGTCTGTGTTGCGCTGTCTCTCTACACTTGCCCTTACTGTGACCACAGCTGCGCCCACCACCACGACCAAGCCGACTACAAAGACCCCGACGACCACGACGGCCAAGCCCACTGCTCCACCTGCTCAGCCGCCGGCTGAATGTGCCAAGCCGGAGGGACCCGTGCTCGAGTGGCTCTTTGAAGGCGATGGCGACCAGATCCTCGACACGTCGGGCGCAGGCCATCATGCGCCTATCCATGAGGGCACTCGCATCTTCGACACTGAGAGAGGCGGCCAAGTGCTGGCGTTGTCGCAGCCCCACAGCTCCATCATTGTGTCCCTCTCGCAAGCGCCGAAAGCTGGCGGGCCCTTCACAGTCTCATTTTGGCTGTACCCGACCCACTTCGCATACACGTGAAACAATGTAATCACCAAATCCGACTCAGTCTCCACCGACCAGCTAAAGCTTCTGTGTGGCCTTGTGTCACTTATGCAGTACGTCGGTCCGGGGTGGGGCGTCTTTTTCTTCCGATCGAAGTCTAACGGCGTGATCAACATCGGCACGACGAATGGACAGCGTTTCACTAAAAAGGAATATGCGCCCGGCCTCGTCGAAGCCGACAAGTGGACGATGGTGACATTCTCGCAAGACGCCGAGGAGCTGTGTCGCCTCTACTTTGACGCGGAGCTTATGGGATCGAAGGATATGAATGCGACGGGCGAGTGGACTACCCCTACCCGCTTCAAGCTCAAGAGAGTGGGCGGTCGCATCGATGACGTGATGCTGGTCGATCGGCAGCTCAGTGGTGAGGCGGTCATGCAACTGTACCAAGGCTGCCGTATGCCAGCTACCACACCAATACCCAGCACAACAACAACGACTCGTAAGCCTGCGACCAGCTCGACCACGAGCACCAGCACAGGTCAGAGACACCATCAATCCACTGGTCCATCGACGGAAACCATGTGACAACATGTATAATGCCGTTGTTTGTTCATGGATGTACTCGCTCCTACAACCACAGCTGCGCCCACCACCATGCAACTCACAACCACAGGTGAGTCGCAACGAGCGAGCAAAGACATGGTTCTGCACCGCATTCTTGAATAAGTGAGCAGTTTCATCAGTTGGTGGCCTTTATTTGTTTCCTCTCATCTGTCCATGCAGCTCCTCCTACGACCACAACAACGGCCACAACAAGCACCATCACCACAGGTACGTCAGGTTCCTCTCAGGTAGAAACCATTTTTCTGCGCGCGTTGTGTATATATATGTACATTTTTATCTGACTGCCCGTCCAACTACAGCAGCGCCGACCACTACACAGCCAACAACCACAGGTGAGAGAGTCAGGCAGGCTAAAGGCAGCAGTCAGCCACTTGTGGGGAATCTTGTTTTTCTTCCGTGCGTCGCGTCTGCTTTTCTGTCAGTCGTTCCGTCCACCACGACCACCCTCAAGCCGACCACCAAGCCGACCACTCCTCCCACCGAGCCCCTCGATGATTGCGTGCGGCCACCAGGTGCAATCCTTGTGTGGCTCTTCGAAGGAGAAGGAGACGAGATCACCGACAGCTCTGGGCAGGGGAACCACCCATCGATCGGAGACAGTACCAGAGTGTTCGATGAGGAGAGAGGCGGTCAAGTCCTGTCAGTACGTAAGGGGCACCAGCAGATCCGTGTGTCGCCCGTGTGGGGCCTTCCGGCAGGACATCCCTTCACAGTCTCGTTCTGGATCAAGGTCTGCTGAATAACCAAACAAGAACACGGGCATGACAAGGGCATACACATGATCTTGCCTGTCTGTCTCCTTCAGCCGCTCGATTACGTGACAGCATCAAAGGCTAGCAACAGGGACTCAATAGGAGCGTAAGAAAGGGAGCGGGACAGACGAGTGAACATAAGTTGATCGTTTGTGTGATCCCACGCAGCGGATGGGGCACGTTCCACTTCAGAGGTACACATCACACCCAGACACAGACATACCTGCCAGCATGAATGGTCTCTACTGTAGTCACGTCGGGAATGGGGGGGGGGGCAACGGCATACACGTCGGCATCAAGTAGGCAGCCATGCATCAGGATTCAGGAGCATCATCCATCGATTCATTGCATATGCATGCTGCTCTCTTCATCTGCGTGCGTACAGCGATGCGCCCGAGAGATACAATGCGTACGCATTACACAGACGGGTTCTCGTGCACTCATTATCGTTGCTTTTCGACGTGTGCAGCGACGAGGCTGGGTACCTCACCCAAGACCAATGGCTGATGTTCACGTTCAGCTATGACTCAAAGGGCTACGGCCGCCTCTACCGTGACGCCATAGAACAAGGCGCCGACCGGAGAGGACAACTGACCCCTCCTTAGGACTGGGAATCGTTCATTCTCAAAAACCATGATTCGTTGCTGGATGACGTCATGCTGTTTGATCGACAACTGAGCGACAAGGAGGTCATGCTGCTCTATCAGGGCTGCGTGACAGGCCCCACATCGGCTCCGAAAACAACAAGTATGTAGGTGTGTTTGCAGTTTGGCTGCATGCATCGACAAAAGGAAGCAGTCAGTCAGTGTCGGCAGGAACTCCCTCCCTGGCAATGGCCGTGTTCCTTGATGCTCATTTGTCCATTTCTCTCCCTTTCTCGACCCCTCTCTGTTGTCTGCCTTGTCCTCAGCTCCTCCCCCAAACACAACGACCACGACAACGACAACCACAAGTATGTCACCAACCGATTCAATTTGCGTTTGTTTGGTGCGTGGGATGGCTGCATCACTTTCGAATGTGTGAATTGGTGCAGCTACGCCCGCCCCCACCATAGCGCCGCCTCGTCCCGTCTCGCCTGAAGGGTTGGTGCTCTGGTGGACATTTGACGATGATAATTGGCCACCCTCCTTCGACCACACCAACCCGGACACGTACCCTACAGACTGCGTGGTCGAAGTTGGAAAGGAGTAGGCGAATTGTCGGCAGACGAGCTCCAGGCAGTGGAAATGGACATGAAATGCTCCATGCGTTTGCGCGATGCAGCAACGATCCGGGAAAGGACATACCGGGAGGAGGAAAGTCCGGGTACCCAACCCCCGAATCGTGTGCAATTGCATGCTACTTGCATGCTACAATAGCCCTCAATGTTACTTCTGGACTCATAAGGACCGAAGCTGCTGGGTGAGTGGAAGGGGAATCACCGCTCTACAACAACCATTCAAAGGGACATGTCATATCCGTCCGCTTGCCCCGTTATCTCGTCCTTTTGCAGCTCAAGGCGGACCTGAGCGCCGCTAACACCATCGAAGAAGCCTCTTCTTCCGTCACAACCGGCACTCGACAGTGCGGTATCAATACTGGAAACACCATTGTGGATCAGTCGGGCAACGGCAACAGCCCCAACATAACCGGTGTGTATCAGGTGGAAACAGATGGAAACGAATCAGCTCATTGTATGGCGTCATTCCTATGGAAAATCCCAGACACAGGGAGAGTCACGCGGGTCCCCGTTGGTGAGTCCAACAATATGGCTCTCCGGTTAGAGCGCGGACACGAGGCAGTGAGACTTGATGCCCTAAGTGGATTTGACCACACCGAAGCGTTCAGCGGTATACACGCACACATTCATTTCGACATTGTATTCTTTCTCTTTCTGTCCGCACATATGCATACGTACAGTGACCTTTTGGTTCGCTAGAGGCAGCCGCAATTGTTGCGGTGAAAGAGCGATTGTCGGCCCCGGTGTCTGGAACGAGTTGATGATCAAATACGACTGGGGCGACGGCTTCATCGGCGGCATCCATCAGCCGATCACAAAGAAGTCCAGCAGCGGGATGATAGACGCGGGCACATGGATGCACGTCGCGGTCACATTCGAAGATGGATACTTGCGTTACTATAAGTGAGCGGGGCCGAAAGTACTTTAGGTGACGAAGTACACATCATCAAATACATACTGCCTGCCTGCCTGCCTTTTGCATGCAGGAATGGACAAGTGCGTGGCCATGCAGGTATTCTAAATTACATTGTGTCGCTAATTGTCCACGTTCATGGCAGACGAAGACCCACCTCAACCCTGGCACGGATTCCACCTCGCCATGGTCTATGCACCCATGATGCAAGAGAAGAAGCGCACACATACTTTACGTGAAATGAAGATGTAAGAGGACAATCTGTATCTTTCGTTGGCTCACTTCGTCAGATGGATGGCGGCAAAATTGACGATGTCCGAGTTCATAATCGCCGTCTTCACACTTCAGAGATCCGAGACATCATAGGACTACCACAAGATAAGACTCCCTACTACTTGGCCGAAGAGCGATATATTGAGCATGTACGGAATACAGAGCCATCACCTGCTTCTGACAGACATGCCCCTACCATTTGCGCACATACATCACTGTGTGTTTGCGCATTCTGGTCTAGAACAATATATGGTCGACGACTGATACTGGCTATTCTTACCTGAGCAAGGGGTGAGCGAATGCACGATTCTCAGGATAAATAAAGGTGTACGTGTCTTTTGTCGTGTCAATATGTCAATAGAACGATCTCCCATTTTCGCGGTCGGTGATCAGCGAGTCAAGAGGCCTGCCTAGAAAGCGAATGAAGGGGCGATAGAGACCAGCCTTATCCATATACTGTCGACTCTGTGTGTGTTATCGAATAGGGGCCATGTACTGTTTGATTCTTCGCGAACGCAAGGGAAAGAGGCGACCAACAATGGTACGTCGGTTGCATGTCGACGAGTGATAGGCATTCGTTTACCACGATTGACCTGAACTTGACTAAATCTGTATACGCGTCTGTCTTCACAGGTGAAGATTCAAGTTGACGACAAGTGGAACGCCATACATGTGGTCAGACCCGACCTCTGAAAGACCACCAATGAGAGATATGCAGACAGTGTTATGTCTCATTCATTGCTTCTTTGGTCAACTCGCACTGTTAGGAGGAGGCATTTGTGGAGCACTTCGGCAATTCCAGTCAATACGCTGAAGATTATTGGTCGAAACCCGATGACCACCATGAGTGGACCATGGGTATGCTGAGCGTACATACACATGCCTGTGCATGTCACAGGGCATCTTCTATGCAGATGTCGACAAAAACGGCTACATTCATGTGGCCGGAGACATGCACAACTTGTGAGCAGACACAGACACAACGGAATAGACACAATCATGTTGGCTTCTTCCCTCTCTTGTCTTGTCGATGTGCAGCCCCAAGTAAGAGAGTGCGTTTCTTTCTTCATCGCCTACATGTCTCCTTTGATTCTCCTTCGTAAGTCAATAGAGTTCTCATACCACTTATCCCACTCTGTAGGTACAGCGCGCACAAGAAAGCGGGCTACGGACTGACCAGACCACAGGTGCTTTAAACCCCCGACCTTTCCATAGCCTAAGCTTGACCAACACTCACAAGTGCGCATCACATGCAGCGCTTCTGGGGGGAAAATGGCGCCGTACGGAGGAAATCCTCATCTAGAGACACACACACACACAAAAGCACACACAGAGGGAGAGACAGATGGGAGCACATCTGTTCATACGTTCCTTGCAGACTATCATGTACTGGCGCTCTACTCATCCTGAAGACATCCACAGAATGAAAGTAAGTGTGAGCGCACCGAGACGGCAAATCACATGGACGCCTGACGCACAGCAGGAGGAGTGTGTGTCTCTGTACATGTCCCTGTCTGTGGCCCATACAGTTCATGGGCAATGACCCCTCCCGTCGACCTGCTGGCTATGGTAGCGCAACGACCACAGAAGCCGACCTAATTCTGACCCACATTCATGTGTTCGTATCTGTCTGTTTAATGCGCTTGTTTATATGCGTGTGTGTTCGTTCAGGCTACACATATACTTCCTTCTTCAAAGTAGTTTCCTAAAGAGATGTGGTTTTTCCTCAAGCGTCTATCTCTTGTCTGTCTGTCTGTCTGTCTGTCTGTCACGATGATGCTTTTTCTTCAAGAGCGTGGACGGCACTCTCCACTACGGAGGCAGGTTTGACATCTGGAGCAATCCTAAGGACACTCCTCAAAAAAGGTGACCGCACACTCATGATCCATTTATGTGTTGCATGCATCGATCCACTTGTGCATGTCGCGTATACCGATTTCGCAGTATATGTGGCACGCTCAGATGGATGGATGCTGGGACATATGAATGCATGCATGTATGAGTGTGTGATCATTTAGGTGCCAGAAATCAGCTGGCTTGACACGATATGACACTGAGACACAGTCGTGGGTCGCTCTTGGGGTGAAGCCAAACCCATGTCATTCTTATTCCGACCACGGCACCATCTGCTATTCCCCGGCAACTGCAGATGCTGTCGCTTACAGCTACTACTGGCAAGCGAGAAATTGGCCATTCCGCCCTCTTTATTTTGTTGTTCTTCCTACCCATCGATTGCGCACATTTCTGTGGCCGCCTATGTCAGTCCTAGTGGCCATTACACCATCTACCGACCCAGAGTCACATCCGGACCTACCAATCCACATGAAATCCACTTTGTTGGTGGGCAAACATCGACAAGAGAAATACAAGTCTTGTACGTCTCTTGAGTCCTTGTCTTGCAGCGAACGTTCTCGAACCGAGAGGGGTTCGTATGTAACAATCGGCGATATATAAGTGCACATGTGTACTAGTAGTGTATGCTGTTGTATCAGTTTTTCGCTTCGCCGTTTCCAAACAATCCCTGTGGTCAAACCTTCAGCTCCGAGACCATCTATATGAAATCCACAGATGGAGGTACATATATGTATCGATCTATCTATCTATGCGGATCTTGTTCTTCTTTAGGATTGAGCTGGACAAACTACACCGGCCAGCTGATCGCAATGCCTGCCAACCAGACGGCCGGACCACATCAGGCAGACGTCGTTTGGAGAGCCAACATGGACACGGTCATGGGAGGGTGAGTAAATTGACTGGGTGACTGGCAGTAGCGGCCTACACACGTGCACTCGTGCGTTTTGTCCATTGGATGTCTCTGTCTCTCCCTCTGTCTGCCTCTCCCTCAATCAGCACCCAGCCTCTCGTCTCCATTGATTATAGAGGTATGTCTATGCTCGATCAAGTTTTTATGTACTGGTGCCTGGATACACGTCTAGCATATATTTTTGCATCCCTTCAGGCCAGCCACTCGTGCAGTCCCCGGGAATAGGCCTTTGCGGTATGAACACCATCTCGTCTGAATACATTGCGTCACCTGACTCCGACTTGGTAGGCCACAAGGACGGCAACAAGAAGCACTGGTACCGGTGGTGAGCGGAAAGAAATCGGCCATTCCATCCTTCCCATTTTGCTGTTCTCATACTCATTACTCGCAGGTATAACAAGGTATGTCTGCGCTCGCTCGTTCGTCTTCTACGTCCGTCTTCCAAAAGCGGTGCATGTCCGAATGGGCCGTTTAGGACACGGGCGAGTGGCGGGCTGTATCAGGCTTTGCCATGAACGACAAGGACGGTCGGTGTAGACACGAGATCGTCGCATCCTGCACGTCCGTGTTTCATCTGCACAGATCATTCTCTGTCTATGAATGTATCGTCTAGGTGTGCTGGGCACGACGTCTCGTTCCTGGATTCCGCCCGGAAGTGGCATGAGCAGAGAGGTCAGCACAGCGTTCATAGATCCATGTGTGCATTTGTCCCTTTTTATTGTCGGTTTCTTGTTGAAACCCTTGCCAGACTCGTGAAGCGCATGTCTCCAAGATCGGTTATCTCGCCAAACCCTACCATCTCATTTCAGGTGTGTGTTACATTATGCTGGATCACACGCACACACTCGTATATGCGCACTGTACTGTACTTGGATACGCACACAGAAAGGCATCATGTAACTGCTTGCAGGCAATCTTCTTGGCGCGACTATGGTAGACGGCCGGTATACTGTGCGCATGGTGGAGGTGAGTTGGATGAAAGAAAAAGCAAGAAAAACATACATGTACTGATACTGATGCGTGCGGCCACCAGCTTATTAAGCCTCCGTTTGACAAACCGGCATTCACCTAATTCTCGAGCCGAGCCTTTTAATAAGCTTTTTGTCATGCTTTCTCTTGATTGCTTTGAAGTAGCCATGATGCGCCTCGGAGGCTTTCGTACTTGATTTGTTTTGTCTAGCTTTTTGGTTTTGTCTACTTCGGTCGACTTTTAAGATTAGACAGGCAGCCAGGTCCATCACGTTTCGATCGGTGTTTCCTAACGACACATCATTGATCACCAGTCTGTACCTCTTTCGGCACGTCGTGAAGAAAAGCGGAGATTCATCGAAGCACACCGATTTCTTTCGTTACCTGTCTATGTGCATGGCGGATGCCGGCTTGCCTCTGAATATTTCTCTCGGTCGATCCGACTCGATCGGCTGCATGCGGTTAGCTGCGGTTTTCCTCAGGACAGGACACGCACACCTGCAAACGCTGGTTCATGTGCAGCACAGTGCCTGGCAATTGACGCGTGCAGAGCTTTCACGCGGGCCGAGAATGTAGACAGATTTTGGATGTCCAAATGCATTCTATTCAAGAACGTGCGGAACGGGGGGAGCTGGCTCAGTGTTATTTCGGCAGTAACACACACAGAGTCGACAGTATATGGATAAGGCTGGTCTCTACCGCCCCTTCACTCGCTTTCTAGGCAGGTCTCTTCACGCCGATAGTCGCGCAATCATCTACGCATACTCAGAAAAAGACAAAAGGCATTCAATGTCATTGCATTGTATGCATGTCAGACAAACGAAGAAGGGTGCACACAGTAGACAGATCTACGACAAATACTGCAGCATGGCAAGAAATGGATTGGACTCAATACACACGCACGCACACACACACACACACACACACGAGAGAGAGAGAGAGAGAGAGAGACTCACGGCACGGCCTCAAAGCTCCTCTCGCCGATCAACCGTGTTTCCACCATTAACATCGCCTTTGCGCCTCTCATCAGTAGCAGCGCAAGCAGCCCCACCATTTTGCTTGGCTCGAAATTTCCTCATCCGAATCTTGGAGGCTTCTCTCTCCCTTGCAAGCTGATGGCTGTCAAAGCGAGAGCGCCTCCTTCACTGCTGAAGACAGCCCAGCGCGGTGCTTCTGTTGCCGGAAGGTCGCAGCATGGCTGACGATTGCTTTCTTGTCGGCCGATAGATTGCTGCGCCATCGCTGTTGCCTCCGTGCTGCGAGCGCTCGCCGTCTTTTTATCCTCTCGTCGATATCGGGTGCTTCGGCGGAAGGACGCCCGTTGGTCGGCAGCGAGGTGGGAAGATAATGGGGAACGCCTCTCGCCGCGCACAGCTCCTCATATCGTCGTACCACTCCCTCACAGCACTCCCTAACGGAAGCCTCAGTGAGCGACGATGGGCAGAACATCTCTGCTGGATCCGGCCATATTCAGCCAGTAGATGACATCCGACTTCGAATTCATCCGCACGCGGCACCTGTAGTCGTGAAGAAGGCGTTTCCCGAGCGCATTGAGGCCTCGAACAAAGCGAGCATCTGCAAACACATACACACACCCGGCATCGAAATCCACCCACCTTACTAGCATGAGTGCACACGTACCTGCTTGAGCTCTCACTTCGGACGATGTGCGGCTTCTGTCGTCGTCAGCTTCATCGGCTGCTGCGCCAGCTTTACACACCGTTCGCTTGGAGCCTTGTCTTCAGCAACTTGACGGCTCTCACTCTCACCAGACCCAGAAGGAGAGCGGCACGCTTCGCTGCTCGCACGTGGAAGCATGCCCGGTACCCAGTCGTTGCAGCTGCTCTCTGTGGAAGTCGCGTCATGTGACGCACGCAACATCTTGATTTGGGGAGATCACGAGAGAAAGGAAAAGAAAAAGATGTCGTGAAAAGTGCTCCTGTTGCACGTCTAAGCTCGCAGGGCTCGAAAGGATGCTCGAAACCCTGCAGACAACACAATGGCTTCCACAGATCTTATGTGTTTTTGTGACGTGGAGGTCGGCGAGAGGCAAGAAAACTCAGGCCCACATCTCGGCTGTGACCGGCAGCAGCTGAGCGAAGAGGCCCCACAGGGCTTAGCGCGGCCGAGCGACGAGGGCGGAGGTGCTGCAGAGGACAAGAGTGGCCGGCGCCCGGAACCATTCGACGAAGAAGACGATGAGTGTCACGGAATCGTCGGAAAGCAGCCTGGCAAGCAGCCGAGCATTTGCACCAGCCACGGGAGCGGTGAAAATTGGCCGCCTGAGTCGCCTGGATCGCCGACAGATGGGCATGATGTGGACGAACGGGGCGAGTGGAGGACAGAGGCGAGGAAGCGTAAAGAGATGGTTGCTCAATTCTACGAGGGGGCAGGCAGCAAGTTGGCGGCCTATGAAGAGTTTCCCAGTACCCTTCGATACGAGACGCGAGTCAACGACAGCGGGGAGGTCGAAGAGAAGCTTGTCGGGATAGCGTTCACTCCCGAGCCCTTCATCAGCACTGCACGGAGAGTCGCTCGTGTCCTTCTCTTTCAACTTGCAACTGCATTGGTCTTTGCAATCGCATGGGCGCTCTTCTGTCTGGGTAAGACAAGGCCAACTTCACATGCAAGGAAACGAAGATGTATCTGGACGGATGCCATCATGTTTGTGCGTTTATGTAAGGTTGCTGGCCGATGTGTGAGTACAAGAGCTTCAGTCGCGGGGTGCCTTGGATAGTACTTGATTTCCTTCGTGTGCTGCTTATCTGTGTCGGGTATTTCGCCGCCGCACTCCTAATGGCCGAAGGGGATGGAGGACTGGCTTTGCGACGCTTTGTCTCGTGCTGGCAAATTTTTATGCCTGGCACACTGTTCATGTTTTCAAGGCCGGTGGTGCACCACTTTTTTGGAGGATTCAGAGTCCTATACAGAACTTACATTGAGCCCCTTGCGGCGTTTGTCGTCAGCTTCCCTTTGGCGTTCATCTTCTTTCGTTTCAGCGCCCACAGGAATAAGACCGTTGTGCGGCACCGGAAGGTGATCTATTCCCTTCAGCTGACATTGATGTTTTCTATAAACGCGTTACTCGGAAGCGCCATGTAAGTGTGTGAAATGCCGATGTCAGCATTCGATGTTCGCCTGCCTTTTGTCTTTCTCCGTCAGCCGAATATTTCTCCTCCCGCTAGCCACGAGAGACACGACCGATGGGGAGCGGACACGAGTGGTATTCGGTTTCCTGCTGATCATGTGGCCACTCCTCGGATTAGGTACGTTGGTTCTGAGATGATGCTGATGTGCACGCACATCTCCTTATCCGTTCTTACCAATCAATCAGTGACGGCCACCAATCGGGCTATTCGGGACGGATCAGCACTGCAGACAGCACCATGTCTCGCGTTTGGGGCTGTTGCGCATGCTTTGTTTCCTCGCATGTAAGCAGCGCCCGAGTGAGAGACGAATATACATGATCCATTGTTCTACAGGCTTCAGTCAAAAATGGCATTGCTTTCGCCGCATCAAATCCTGACATCTGTCGCTCTCGGGTAAGGTCTGCCTGACATATTGGCCCCTGCCATTCGGTGCTCTGTCCATTCTTCGAACAGGTGCTTCGACCTCTTGACAGACATCGCGATTCCATATTGTATGCAAGCATCGATATATTGCATTCCAAATCATGTCTCTTCACGATTCTTCTTGCGTGAGCAGGTGTTCTCATTGGTGGCGCGAGCAGCAGGCTATTTATACGGCTGGTGGCCCGCTGCAAGCCGAACCAAAGGGAGACGCAAGATCAGCAACCCGATGCTGTTGACATTATTGCCGTGAGGGATGAGAGCAACAGCGACCGAAAGCCCGGCCCTTCACTGAGTCGTCTTTCCACGAGGGCGGCATCGTACCGCCGTTCGAAGAGTGCGGCATTCGATCGCCTCCGCTGCATGTTCAGCCGCTCGTTGCTTGCATCCCAGCTGAGTACGATACTTGACGCGCAGTCCAAATTCGTGACGGCAAGGTACCATCCCATGTTCCTTCGTCGACTCAGCGACGTGAGCACTTGAGAGCATATGGGGAAAATCACGACAGGAAAAGTCATGCATTCCATCCATGTATGTCTCCTCTCGCTGTTGATTGAGTACAGCAAGTCCATTTGTACGGCCTGGCGGAGCTGACCGCACTGGTACGAACACAGGCAGGGAGGGAGGCAGGGAGGGAGAGAGGTGATGCATCCGTCCTGTCACCTACTTACAGATCTTCTCCAATTTGTGCTCCATCATCTTCGAACAGGTGCTGTGAGTGGACGTGCAGTATGCACACGTGCCTGATATGTTTTTCGTCATGCAGATTTTGTCTCCATCTGGCGAGCGCTTGGCGGAGAGACTGGCTGGCCTGGGGGTCCTTGTGCTTATCGAGATGAGCCTCGAATTTCTGCTCTTCTGCGTGAGCTACATAGCTCTTCATTAAGCCTCAAAGATAAGGACAATTCCATTCACTCACTATCTGCCTGGGTGTGGCTGGCTGTCTTGTCTTGGTACGTTGGATGTAGTACATGGTTCGTGTGATCAATTTGCCATTGATCAGGAGCGAGAGGGAGCCGAAAGCCGTGAGGATGCGACTTACGGGCATGTTCTTCTCGGGCAGCATCTGTGTCATACACGGCGCTTCAAACATGGTCGTGTTCGTTTTGCAGTCGTTGGACAGAGAGGCATATGGCAGCGTGGAACTGCGCGACTACTGTCCGCACGACTCTTTCCTCTTGCGGAGACACGTGGGGGCATAATTGCTTGAAATCAGCCAGCCAGCCGTGCTGTGCTCTGCCAAGACAAGAAGCGGCCGGCTGTCGCCAAGGTTTACATGTCTCAGGTAGGTAGGGCTGATTTTGGCGAGTGGTGCCCAGGTCTCACGTACTAGGACTTCTTGGTTGTAATTGGCGAGTAAGCGGAGCTTCGGTGTCTGTTTCGCTCCACCTCACCAATCTAAGTTATCTGCGTCGGTGCGATGAGTGAGACTGCTGCAGGCGTTGCAACTCAATGAGCGGTTCATCCACACACACACTGTCAAGTCAGTCGTTAAATAGAGGACATGCAAAGTTCGTGTCACTACCAGCCATCCATCCATCCATTGCACCCTGCCATGTGGTTCCTCAGTCAGTCCCCATCAAAAGCGATGCACTTTGCCTGTCTATTTCACCCACTTCCCTCATCCTTGCCTTGTACATCCCTTGGACATGGGGAGGAAGGACAAGGGGAGGAAGCGCAAGGAGGATCATGAAGGGCTCAGACGATGCAAAGCGACAGAAGAAGGTGCCGCAACGACGTTCTGTCGTCGAGCTCGCCACGATGCAAAGCGACAGAAGAAGGTGCAGCAGCAGCAGCTGATCGTGATGATCAGACGATGAATGAGGGGAATGATGATTGTACCGACGACCAAAGGTCAAGGAAGTTCGGCATCTCACGTGCGAAGGATGAGGGAAGGGGAGACGAGGGGTGAAGCAACGAGAGAGCCACGACAGCAACGAGGAAAGCGGAACGGCCGTTATCTTGCTCACCGGCGTGAAGTCAACGGCTACCCTCTACTGCTCAATTCTGGATTATGGGAGAGATGCTCGCATCTCCCTCCCTTCATGAGCGCAGCGGTATATCATCAGCGATGAGGCGAAATGTCCTTCTACGTCATGTTTCTTGTCGTGTGTTAACTGTCCGTGTGTCATTTCATGCCACCCTCTAGCATTGAACGCATTGTGGTAGCAGATGAGGGGTCATATCTGGCAAACACATGTCGTATCTGGCTGGGCAAGTATAGATCATGTCACGCAACACGAAGTCGTTGCTGGCTCGGATAGTCGCTCTACTTTAGTTTCCGTTCCCGTCTCCCTCTTCCTCCTCGCCCTCCTCCTGCTCTCCCTCTTAATACTTCTCCTTGTATTTGTAGTTGCAGAAGAGCTGTGCGCCCCTCTCTGGCTTGACAAACTTACCGTCGACCACAAGCCCGTCGTCGACCTCCGATGGCGGCGTCTCGGGACACTCATTCTCCGCCTCTACACACACACATGCAAACAAAATACACCCACAAACATGTACTATCATGTATATCGTATATATCCGATTCACGTATTCATACCCTCTTTGGTGGTGCATCGGCCGAGATATTTTTTTTTGATGGAAGGCTTGTGAGGATCGTAATCGATTCGCTGGTGGAGCTTGCAGATCTTGTCGGGGTCGTGAGTGTTCTTTGTGCCTTCTACGGTACAAGGGCCTCTTGGGGCGGCCTCATTTTCGGGCCTATCTCGTTCCCAGCCTGATTATACGCGAATTGGTTGAAGATCTTCAAAACGCATGTGCCCCCTGACGGACGGAGGGAAAGAGAACGTATACACAGGACATACATGAAAGAAACACACGCCCATATACGTATTGGCCTGTGTACCGCCTTGGGCCTCTTTTGTTTATTTCGGTCTGTGCTCATGTCTATCTCCTTCATTCGCTCACTTTTAGCGGATAGTATTTGCAGCTGTTGCTCGGCCATGCTGATAGTCTTGAGGGCAGTTCTGACCATATCATTGCTCGTTTTGCTCAGCTGGTTGGCAGCGGCCATGATCTGCTTGGCCTGCTGCACTTGAGCACGGAGCATCGACAACGACATGCCTGAACACACGCGCACACACACACATGCGCTTGCGTCATGTCCGCCTGCCGCCCGCATACAAGGACAGAAGCGCACGGCAGGCAGATCTCATTCATACCCTGCACGTGTCGAGAGAGATCCTTGGCCATCTGGGCCTCCTCTAGCTGGGAAGCCACCGCAGCTGCATGCGTGGGTGAACAGGGAGGATCTATGCGCTACGTGCGGACGGATGGCCTCTGCCTTCTCTTGATTGGTGTGGGGGCGTCCGTGTGTGTATCTGTGTAGCTGCACACGTACGTACCGGCTGCTTTGGTGATGTCGGCCGTGGCGGCCAGTTCGTGGGCAGCTGTGTTGAGCTTGTATGCGGCCGTGATGGTGGTGCTGGCCTTGTCTAGTTGCAGCTGCACGAGCGCCATCTGCTGGGCCTCAAACGCCGACACCTCACCAACTGCACACGCATATGACACATCAACACACAGAGATCTCGACTGCACGAATGGACGGATGGATGGGCGAGGCCACCTACCGTGCCCGTAACGGTCCACCGACACTTCTGCACCCATCACAAATGCAAGAGAATAGCAACAGCACGCGAATTGGACAGATCTGCCATGATTTATGGTCCGTTCGGTGCGTGTGCGCTTCCTCGCGGCTCACGTCGGTCACCGGTGCGCTGGCCGGCCAGCAGAGGCTGGACGAGGGCCGCAAGGCCAACCAACAGGATGGCAACGACGCCGAAACGCATCATCGAGGCAGGCTCCGCAAGTATGAGAAACTATGTGCACGCTCGGGCGCTTAAAGATATCTCTCTCTGGGAGAGAGAGAGAGGGAGGGGGGGAGGGTGTAAGAATAGGTGGGAGAGAGTCGGGGAGAATGGTGAAGAGAGGATCTGCCGGGCGGTCAGTCCCGGATAAAGGATTAAGTCAATGCAACGTAAGGTCTGTGGATTTTGTGGAGAGTCC